GGACGAACTTTTCTGGAAAAGCTGTTCTGTCAAACGTCAATTCCTAATTATACATTTAAAAACAATTTTTTATAAATATTTAGTTTTCTTTATTTGATAAGTATCTCTTACAAAATATTTTAATTCATACAATTCATAAGTGTATGCATTCCTTGTCATAATTACATCGATCAACTATTATTGACTTCGATTTTTAGGATTACCCATGTGAATTAAACCTGAGTACCTGAAATAATATTAAGAAGATATTTATTGAATAATCGTAGGTATTAGTTTCATTTTACATTTTGTATTGTATCAAAATACCTATTGACTAATGTGAATATCATTTATTGGGTTATTATAACAACTGTTCCTTGCCAAATCTCGTTTTTATTTTTAAATAAAAAAGATGCTTACCATTCTTTGCTAAGGACCTTTGAGCAAGAGTATTGTTTGCTGACGACACATCCTTGATTTTTAAAACAGACAGACATGACGTTAACTATGACAATATTAACGGTAACCTTTCAAAGGTAGTTTATTCGTTTAATGTTACCAATTTATTGCTCAATGCCAAGAAGACAAAGTGTGTTAAATTGGAATTACCTAATGTAAAATCGACTAGTCCAATCATAGAAATAAATGCTAATAAAGCTTATAATAAATGCTAATAATAAAGCTGTCTTTTTGGGAGTGACCTTAGATAGTAAACTTCAATGGTTTCCACATATATCTTCCAAGCTCTGCTGCATACGCAGTCCGTAGAATACGTGAGCTTACCGATGTTGCTACTGCTAGACTAGTTTACTTTAGTTACTTCCATAGTAAAATGTCCAACGAGATTCTCATGTGAGGTAAAGTGGCAGATATACAAACCATATTTGTCTTGCAAAAACGAGCCATTCGTTCTGTGTACCGTTTAGGTTCTCGGGTTTCTCTCAGAGGAAAGTGGAGACTGGTATCATGACCGATAGTGGCATCACAGCACATTTACTCAAATATTTTGTATGCCCGAAAAAATATACATAATTAACATTAACGTTAGAACTATGTCCAAACTCATGGTACCGCGATTTCGTTTAACTGAGGTCCTTAAACGATTCTTTTATGGGGAACTGCATACGTTTTCACAATAAGATTTACCATTGCCTAAGTTTGAAAATTCATTAAAAGTATTTTAATTGAAAAATCATATAACAAAATTGTAGACTACGTGTTAGATAAAGATGTATGGAAAGACAACTGGAGTCTAGATTCCATACAAATACGTTTCAAAGTGTATTCTATAGCATTGAAGTTTATTTGAAAAGAGCAATCCTCAGAGTTTCTTGCTCGTTCTTCTCAGGGAAGTCGGCACAATGAACGAGCAGTAGTTTAAAAAATTACGTTTTCAAGTGTAAAACTTTTACGTCTGGAAATATTTGACTTTGACTTAAAACTTGCGACCCGAACTTACTTACAACTCGCTTAATATTGAAATAAAGGTTTTTTAATGTAAGTAGGATTTAAATTAGAAACTACAAATAAATACTTTTAAGTTCTAAATGTAAAATTATGGCGATATTCATTCTTTTTCGTTATGGTTAATTTTGCTTTCGCTTTGAAATCAAATATTTGTAGTGGTAATATTTGTGTTATTTTCTAATACAAGTTCCGACGTGGTACTAATGCGCAAACAACACGAAACAATAATGGCGCATATGGAGACGATATAGGTAACAAACGCACTGTCACTTTTTGGTTTGCAACTACACGAGAAATTTTAACTTGTCAATAGAACCTCTTGGACGCCTAAGGTGAATAATGACGATTTTTAAGCCCATCGCAAACTACGGAGGAATTAGCGCCACGGTTTCATCTAACTATAGGCGCGCGTAATAGTTTGACGTACTTATTAATGTACACTGTCTTAATCAACAAAAGAGATTGGTAATTTCAGACCGTGTCAATAGTTATGATGAAACTGAATTCGTTATGATAATCGCAAATTTGGAACAAAGTGGTTGAGCGCTGGCGAGCAAATTATGCATTAAAATGTCGACGATATGTGTGATATACGTGTGGCTGGTCAAACGATCTTCACCGCTTTGTTCTACCCGGTAACGCATGCTGCCGAAGAAACCATATCTCTTGAAAACTACCATACAGGAGTTGCAGACTAAAGCTCTTATCACCATATTTTTTATTACTATCTAAGTTTCGATTATCTATCTACAAGAAAAACAATTTAGTTTAAAATCTTGAGATTCCCGTTTAATTCTACCGTAAAGGACTTCCAGCAAGATGGCAGAAGTTCATTGATATCGTGGCTACACATTTGAGTAAGTAAATGCTGTCTCTATCTAAACCATATACTTTTTGCAATTCTCCTAATAGACCAGCAATGATAATATACCTTCTTTACCCCCATTATTTACTCTCTCATTTGTGTAGTATATTTTTAAGGAAATAAGGGAAATCTGACATCGTCATAACAATATGAACCTACGTTCTTCCGTGTTGGTATTGTTAGTTTACCTGTATACTTTTTGTTACCGGCGACATTTCTATTAATAAACAAGTTTTATTCTAATTTCGAAAATTCATACAATTTTATTTATTTTTAATACAAACCAATGAACAGCTTGGCTCAGGTCGACGAATTTATTTATTTATTTATTTATTTATTAATATATGAGTGTAATGAAAAGAACTTTCGAGTGGTGTTGCCCAATGCTAGAGCAGGGCGAGACTAACCCTAGTCTTGGTCTTGTCTCGCATCAGTAAGTACACCGAATTGCAATTACATAATTGCTACTTATTAAACTGCCATATTCTGTCATTCTTACAAAAATTTAAATTTTTTTTTTTTTTTTTATTGCGACTCGACAAAATGACTGCACCGCGCCTGATGGAAAGTGCGAATACAGTCCAGAGATGAGAGTAACGGATGGAAAACACAAATATCTTCACTCCGAGGGTAAATAGAGGGTTTTTGCAAATTTTACAGTATTTTTACGATCATGTTTGTTGGTTATAATGCTAAGCATACACGTTTAACTTGTGCATAAGATTAATAAATAATAAATAAAGTTGAAATGAAAAGCATAATATGTTATGGATACAAGATATGACCTGCTTGAGGAAGCGCTACGCGCCGCCCGCACCCCGCACCCCGCACCGCGCTGGCCGCCGGTCCCGGTTAGTTAGATTTTCCACATTGTTGATGATAATTCGCCAGCTACACTAGTGTATTCTGTTTTTGCTACACTTTTATCACAGGTACACAATATTATAATCAATAAAACAATATAACTATCGACTCAATGGCTTTTTGTGTAATTAACTTTGTTGTTAGAAGAAACCGTGGTTTTGATACCAGTAGTAGGGAACATCTATCAATGTCGATATTGAAACCAAATGCATCAATACGTCAGAATTATATGTCAGAGTATGCGTAACTGCGAGACGCAAAAATCTCGTAGACTCAGGATCGTATTCTAGAACTCTACTCAATGCTCAACTCAGGATTGCACTGAAAACACAAGCACTAGAAATACGATCCTAATGGCAGGGACTTGAGTATGATTTCGAGTGCTTTAAACCATACTCAAATCCTGACTTGAGCATTGAGTAGAGTTCTAGAATACGACCCCTAGTCTTGTTCTTGTCTAAATGAGAGAACATGACCAAGACTGCAAGACCAAGAACAATTTTGGGCAACACTAGTGACGAGGGAAATAATAACGATACGGTAATAGACAATTTTTGTAGTGATATTGTGGCTGTTCAAATCTCTTTTATAAATTTGCTTATATGATAAAATTAATATAATAAGTAAGTAGGTGAGTGAATAAGTACCCACATATATTTAGTTACGAGTGTGCATGGAATAATAAGAATCACCAATGTAAACATTCCATACATCTGAAATAACGTTGTAGGCAGCCTCGTAGACAATTCTGAAATTGGTGACTTGTGTAGTGTTAACACCGTACCTACCTAGTTACGATTTTATGTACCTACAGCATGGCAGCTACATAAAATATACGTAATAAGTGCGTAGATAGTAGATATGTATATATTTAACATTAATTACATCCTCAATGGATAATGATAAAATCCTGTTGAAACTGCTGCCTCGTACCGTGTAGGCTATAGTGTGACAGAGATGACGATACGTAACGAGCTACGTACCAGATGGTAACTAGTGAGCGAGGGATAAACGGCGAGAATGAAATAAATTTAATTATGCAAAAATGCAGACGTCTCCTTTCGAGTTAATCAGCTGACGAAGACAGCTGATTCGGGTAAAGTGAACGTCGTCTATTCTATTCAAAGGAAGTATTTACATCTTTTGGGCAACCGCTTAAAAGTGCTTTATCAACTTTGTGACCAATAAAAGCACAGTCAAAGTAGTTGCATTGTACCTATGTACATACAAAGGTATTTACCGATGGTTAAGAGTAACCGAAAGTAACTAGTTGCTTTCATAAGTAAATAAATAGTAGGAGCTAACTATAATACCTAGGTGGATAAGTACTACTTGCATACATAAATACTTTTTGGCTTATAAATGTGTATACATATATTTATTACGATTGATGACTTTTTGAACGTGTAGGTTCCTTTGCAACTCGTGTGCGCGGAACGCTAACTTCATCAATTCAAAACATTATCAGAAAATCTCATATTATAGCTAGCCTCCAAAATCACATCGAAGCCTACTTCTACTCGTATCGATGTAAAAAAGCATTTTGTATGTGGGCTAACTATGTCGAATGCGCGGAATTCATCTCATTTTGTAAATACCAGAACGAGAGGCAAGAGTCGGCCCGGAGCAGGAGCGAGCAAGAGACCTGTTATGTATTATTATTTGAACGTCGAATCGGGAGAAACCTGCGTGCGGGCCTCACGGCCCCGCCCCGGCCCCGCTCCCCGCCGATCATATGTTCGGCGGGCGGCGCGCGCGCGCGGCCGCGTTCACTCACTGCGACTCGGGCACTCGCCGGCGTCGTTCCTCTCCCGCGTGCACGCCGCCCGCTCGCGCACGATCAGCTGTCCGCCAAACAGTCGAGTCGTCGCCGGTGCCGCGTCGCTCCGTCCTCCGCAGCCGCCGAGGTGCCATGGAGCTGCTGTGCGCCGAACGCGTGAGCCCCGGCAGCGCGGGCCGCGGCCGCCCGCAGGCGGCGCCGCTGGCCGCCGCGCCCGACCCGGTGGTGCTGCGCCGGCGCGTGCTCACCAACCTGCTGCGCGCGGAGGAGCGCTACGCCGTCACCGCCAACTACTTCGGCGCCGTGCAGACCGAGGTCACGCCGCACATGCGCCGCCTGGTCGCCGAGTGGATGCTAGAGGTGAGCGCGCCGCGCCGCCGGATCGCCATCTTGTCGCAGGCCGCCGGCGGTCCGGCCGTTGCCGACCACGTGCAGGTACCGCCGGCGCTAACGTTTGCCGGTCGGCCGCCTATGGTACGACCCGCTCGCGTTGACTTGTTTCCTAACCCTCGTGAAGTTCCACGCTTTCCGTAACGTACTAGTGACGTGCCTGACACATTTCGCTTGTACAGCTCGCATTGCGACATTTGTTTACATGATCAGCTGATTTAGTAGTTTTCCTCTAGTTGGAATCTTAGTAGAATTGTTGAATAACAACGTAGGCTTCCTGAAATGTGACTTCAAAAAGGTAGCAGATGATTTGAGCTTTTGGGTAGGCGGCGCGAGGGGCCCCCCACGGCGGCGGCGGTCGCCGACCGACGACGATGCGACTCGCTCGTTCTATTTGAATAATCAGCTGATTTTGACACGCACGCAGCTGGCACCGGACGCACACTTATCTTGCTAGTTCATACACATAAGTAATTGTTAACTCACGTATTTTATGGCACCACGTCATTGTGAACTTGTAAATTAGATGCAGATGATAGGTATAGGTTATAATATACAAGTAGTATACCGGTTAAGTGATTAAACCGGAGTAAAATAAACTCTTCTGATATTTCTCTGTGGTCAGGTTAAATAAAGTTTATTGTACAATCGGGTAATGTGGTATAGAAAAGGGTTGATGCCTAGAGTGATAGACCATGCAAATCATGTGTAGACGGCAGTCAGCTGTGAAACGTGGCCACGTGGTTGGCAGGCCGACGGCGGCGGTGCCCGCGCTGACGTCACCGGATGGTCGTCTGTCAGGCCTCGTGGTGGAAACGCCTAAACCAGCCAACCTCGTACCTTCCACGTTTCAGCACTTTCGAATCAACCGAATATACGTTATTGGATCATCGACAGGTCAATGACCTGCAGAAATTTCGCGAGCACGTTTTCTTTACTCGTCATATTTTCATACCATCAGTCGTAGCGTGCCGGTAGGTTACAGACAAAAATAATTTGCCTCTTAACGTTTACACTTTGATACCTATTTATATTCCGCCTACCTTGCTACCTACTTTGCTTTGGGAGCTCTTTTACAGGCGACTTCAGATTTTTGTTGCACATACGATGTTGCTAAATGAATGCAAACAAATTTGTTGTATGTTAAACTGTGTTGTATGTTAAGCTAACTGGAGCGTGTATTGAATGACATTGGCCTGGGTAACAAACTAAATAGTGTAAAACTTTGTGCCGCGTTCTCGACACACAAACGGCGGAAGCTGCCATTCCTAGAACAATAACTATTCCGACTGTGTTGCACTGAGACAGCGTTAATCAGCTGATGGCTATAGGACCGTGAGACGCGGCTAAGTCCATCAGGGCTGTATTCGGGTAGTTTATTAGTCGGAGAGATACCCAAGTCGGGGGCAATTTCGCATCTTTTCATATTTAACTATTTCTTTCACCAAATGGAAGAAAGTACTGGGACAAAGATGTTAAATAATAAACAGCTTAATTATTCTTTTAATCAAAATCCGTGAATTGTTAATGATTAATTTAAAAAATGTGATTATTTTGATCCTAAGTACCGTGTTAAATTTTATTTGAGGAAATCTTTTACGGAGGTAGCTAAAATACCTCAATACAACTCTGGTACAGCTCATAATATGTGCATATTTTGTGGGAGAGACGAGCATAGTCTGCGCCCGCGCCACTCGCGTTACACCGTGCGAAACTATGCGCTCATCATTCATTCATCTCCCATGACACGGGTCTCGTGTTTATGCCATTCCCCTTCATATATATCACTTTCCTTGATTTCCATTCCGCATCTAAAATCTATTTACCATTTTTCACCGTGTTTCTGAACTTACTCAAGACCATTAATCGGCAGTACCATCCTGGTTAGTGCATGCTAACTCTCGTGTGCTGTTATTAAATGGTGGATTATACCTACGTAGGAACCGTTCCTGATAAGAAATCCAACTGTAGGAAAGCAATGTGAACGCATTTATCGTAATGGCGAGTACCTATTTCCAGTTTTGTACTTATATAGGTTATCAGGAATTCCGGATGATAAACAAGCACGCATTGGGTGCGGTTATACTTCGTCGCAAGGCTTTTAACGTTTATTTAAATTTCAAATTCGATTACCCCTTCTAATACGTGTTCCCTGTAAAATCAAGACATCCTATTTTAACTCAAGTATTCTTTTTCAGGTATGTGAAGACCAGGGATGCCAAGAAGAAGTGTTCCCGCTGGCCATCACGTACTTGGACCGGTTCCTAAGTATATGCACAGTAGGTAAGAGCCAAGTGCAACTGCTGGGCACAGCGTGCTTACTGCTGGCTTCGAAGATGCGAGAACCAAACGCGCGGTGCTTGCCCGCGGAGCTGCTCGTATTCTACACTGCTAACAGCATCACTGTCTCCGATCTTTGTGTAAGTTTTACCATTTTTACAGTTCACTTTTGTCTAATAGAATTTTTCTCGAAAATGCTCTGGTTCGAGGCGTACGGCCTCATAACAGCGAATGAAGTAATAAGAAGTTTTAATTAACTTTCTGCGTCTAAGGAAACAGCTGATCTTGTGCAGCGTGCGTACCGTGCGCCGGGTCTCGCTGCTATGAGGTCGAGTGGCTGCGAGCTCGATTCGAGGATAGGTTGCTAGACCACGACGAATACACTTGGCTGCAGTTTACGCTGCTCCGCTGCGCTCGTTTCTAAGTTATTCGTTTATGTGCATATCCGCGAGAGGTTCAATTTTAATGGTATAATTATCTACGTTCTGATTGATAAGCGCAATTAAAATCGCGTCGCAAAAGTTACATTTGTTTACCCCGAGTCGTCGTCAATAATAAATGATTTTCTCTGGAGCTATAAATAACCGTTTGTGCTAAGAATACCCTTTCAGAAATTAGTTATTCTATTTTTTGGCTATGTGTTGTTAAATTCGAAAGGTCGAATGAATAATTGTGATCAGGCGAGCGTGGAGCATTGGCTTCAACCTTGAAGATAAAAATGAATACGTTAGCTTGCGAAGTCCAAACACGCGTTGTCCGCAAAGGTTTTGATAATCGTGCGTTAGGTAGTGCAGCGTTCGCACATCCGATACAAAGCTGCACTGTTCCGAAACTTAATGGAAAAGCGCGTGCCTATTTGCATTTTGTTGGGTTTGCTATATCGGTGCAGACCACAGACATATATCTAGATAGACGCCGCAAGCACAGCAATTTGTATGAAAACCAAGCGTGCCACATTTTTTGTACCCACTATGACGTCACAAGAACTATTTAGTGATGGGAAACCTCCTTCCGCTCGCTCTAAATTGATTGATTGACCGGAATACGAATAAACACGCGTATTTCATTCAATTAATCGATTCTAAATAGAATAATTTTTATTCAAGTATTTGTTGATTACAAATAATCGTAATATTAATATAGTAGAAAAATACTAGAATAAGATAGTTAAGTCCGTTATTTTACTTGTTTTAAAAAAATGTTGATTACTTAAAAAAAATTAAGACTTTCATTTTTGGTAACCGTTCGGCCACAGAGGCAGTTAAATGTGAGGCAGTTAATGACGGCCTCGTGTGAAATTTTTGTGATTTATTTATTATTTCTCGGATTTCTAAATCTGCTATTTTGCATATTTGGATAGCATCTTAGGTGGGATAAACTAGACCATCTTCGTCCTCGTAAGCAACGAACTTATATGTATGACCAACTCCAGGTTTTTGTAAAGATAGCGCACTGTTAATTCTTTGCAATGTCAATTCTTAATTATACATTTTTTTGTATTACTCGTACTACATATCCGACGACATATGTAATTATTTGCTCACTATATTCAGACATTCGAGACGAGCTGCCAAAATTATCGAAATTACAGATACTACTGATACTGAAACTGAAAAAAAAAACGAAACATTATTAAACGTTATATATAACAAAAGAGTATTTATATTTAAGGTTTTTATAATATTGATAAGGTCATAATAATTTTCGTCCCTTTGTTTTCAAAATCGATCAGAATCGGGAACAGTGTTGCCTAACGTATACATCACTAAATGTTAAATTTGGCCAAAGAAATGTACAAGCGGCCGTACCACGAAAACTGAATGCATTATACAAAAGTGCGTTCGTTCGTTATTCATAACGTATTAACAAAGGATCACAAATATATCGCACCAAGTAAAACCGCAATGTATTACAAATCCATGATTTGTTGAATTGAATCCATGATGTGTATGCCTCATGAGGCATACAGTCGGTTGCGTATTTGTTTTCTCGAAATTCATACAAAACCCAAATAATAGTTCGTAAAATAAATTATGCATCTTCTGATTACAAAATCACTTGCCCGTGGAAGGAAACGTCCCCGTTTACCCGTTTACCCAGTTATGGTGCTTTCGCAGTTTGTAATGGCACAATTATGCATTTTTCGCGTTTTCGACTGGTGTTTATCTACGATAACGGTCGAGCGCGTTCTGCAGTGTAGCAGCGGCAACTAAGTGAATTTAACTTACTTTGGGCACGCGAAGTACGTTCACTTGCGGCGTCTATTCTAGATATAATTATGTCTGTGGTGCAGACCGTCACCCGCCGGGGCCTCGCCTCGCCTCGCCCTGTCGCCACTGCCGCCTGCAGATAAGTGCACGCCACATCTTTGCACGTCATAATATTCGACCTTTTTTTTTTTTCATTATTATAGTTCACCGGTAATACTGTCTACATTGGGTATGATTTAAAATCCTTTTCCGACCGCTAACATAATAGAAAAAGCAAGAGCGGAGTGCGGAGGTTTGCGACAGGCAGAAAGAATGTCAGGAGCACGAAGGGGCAGTGTCCGGTGTGTCCCCTAACAAGCTGACAGCTTCTCGGAAGAGCCAGCAAACAAGGCCCGCGTTTCAATCAGACCAATTACAGTCATACCACGCTGCTCATGTTTCCACACACCCCGTCGCCGCGCGCCGTAGCCGCCGCCGCAACACCGCACTGCCGACAACTACTCGTCATCCCGCTAACGACTCGTGCTACATCGCGAACTTCATTCGTTCTCTTAATAAAATCTTACATTCGATTGTTCTACGTATATAATAATTCTATTTATACGTACGCTGATTCCTACTATATACGAATGCAAGTTCAAGTTCCACTATGCGATCGCATACTAACAAAATTGTGTTTGCCATTGATGTTCTTAAAATTATATTCACAAAATATGACACTTGGTACTTGAATTCATTAAATAGCTTATTCCACACACAAAGTTGAACAATAATAAAAAATCTATTAACAAAATGTCTCAGGCTTCATGTAGACTGAAATCATAAATTTCGTAGCGATGTCGTAGCACGTCTACGAAATTTCGTTCCGTAGACATTACAACCCTTTGTTTTTCTTTTCTTATTACTTTCTACATCCTCTTTGACATATTTTAGTTATTAGGTGTATTTTTCCAAACACATATTTATAATAGCGTATCGCATATCATAAATTTATCGTGCAAGTGCATTTAACATTATGCAATAACGGATCGTCACAGTCTGTGGATATTAAAATATGCCCATCTCATAAAAGCCCATCCAAGTCAGACGAACGAATATCAAATAGGAGTGAATGGCCCCGGGATATCAATTAACTTTTTATGTAAATTAATCACAACGAATTAATTCGTTACGGGTCTCAAGTTCCGCTGGACAAGAGACGCGCACGTTTGCATGTTATGTAAAGAGAGCGCAGGGAAAGGTCAAGCATTCGCATAAAAATGTAGTAATAAACAGTTCAGTTACTGTAATTGTTTGTGCTAAAGTAAAAATAATTGATTGGTTCGAATTGGTGGTGGGGCGGCGGCGGAGCGGTACACAGCCCGCTGAGGCATCCAAGGCGATCATTTAAGCGGCGTTCCCGCGGCCAGTGCCCATAAAACCTCGCGCATTCTCACATCCACATTACCACTCACGGTAAACGTTTATTATAATTGGCGCTTTTTAAAAGCACCGAATCCAATCTCTATTTTCGTTCCATGGCGCTGTAAGGCACATCTTTAATCTACACCACATACTCTACTTAACATCCGATATACATTATACAAGCACACCTCCAAAAGGCTAATTTACCAGTACGTAGGTATGACTGTTTGCGGGTCGACATAATGCACACTTGCACGTATTCTAAGTTAGTGGAGAGTATATCACACGATTAGATTATTATCGCCAGTGCAGCGAAACCGAACGGCTTGTATTTTAATGGCTATGAGTTCCGTTGCTTTGGCGGTGCCACGTTGTAAGTTTATCTTTCTCGGCCCATTTCGATAAAGCTGCTCGTACTTGCGCAGTGCTTAGTGCATTAGCGAGTTATTACAAATGTTCATACAATGCATACTTCCATTCCATTTCACTGGTCGATACAACAACAGAACACGAAAGGGTGAGACGGTTACGATTTGCCCTGTTTAGATGAGTATCGCAGCCCAATAAGTATCACACTTGACTAAATATCTCATTAACTAGCTAATAATGAGTCGAAAGACTGGAGACGCAGCTGGGACAACAAGCCTTTGACATACTTTAACAAAGAGAACATACATTCCACACTCCACAATCACCAATAAGAGACAAAAATGTGTCGCTGTGTGCGGCCGCCGGCCAGAAAAAGGCCAGGCCATGAGACGCGTCCAGACTCAATTATACATAGCACGTTTCTGAAGCGGATTCATTAGAATGACGTCAGTGATCAAAAGGTCAACTCACTCGAATGTCAGTAAAAGGAAATAGGCTTTATGTTTAGAATGTGAGGTATGAGCAAATTAGCACGAGCGGAGGACGTGTTTGCGGATCTCACGGGCATCGGGTGGTTTCCGGTGCAAATTCAAGTTCCCCGCAGGGAATTGCGACAACACGCACAACGTGCGGCCCTTCATTCAGGATTTCGTGTTCCTTCTATATGAACGAAAAGGTTTAGAATGTCGATTATGCTACTTTCTTCGGAGTATTGTTTCCCACGAGTCGAATCGGCGGGGAGGGAGGGAGAGGCGGAGGGACGGGAACCAGTCGCATTCCATTCGGCGGCCTCGTCCTGTCTTGCTGTTTGCCGACTAACTTCGCCAAACGCCGGCCGCTCGCCGGTGGGGTTCATACGCATCCTTCGCTTGATAGAAACACTTCTCATAAATGAGCTGTCGCATTTATTAAAACACTCCCTATCATCCTAGATTTTGATGAGTCTTTACATGCTGAATGGTGAGGCCAAAGATTCCAAAGTCTGTATTCTAAAAGATAACATGGCGGTAATAATTATAAAAGGACTGCATTCGAAATGAGAACGACACGCGTACTTACTTGATTTGTGTTTGTCTATTGATGTAAATAAAAATTGTTAATATCGTTATAATGTTGTCACTGTAACAACTGCGAACATAAATAAAATTCTAAGTGATACCCGTCGGATAACTATGCGGGCGACGCGACCCTGACGAAAGAAAAAATGAAAATTTTGTGGTTAGCAGAAACGCGACATGGAACGCGGTCTGGCGGGCTATTGTGCTGTCCCTCTCGGCCCGACATGAGGTGCGCAGGCGCAGCCTCGAAGTGCCACATATCACAAACCTGTGTAAATCCTTTAATGATGAACAAGTATCAACCAACTGCGTTCGGTTATTCGATGCAGAAGGTTATTCGTAACGCCGCTATTACTATCATTCTACAGGAATTCGATGATGATAACGGCTTACGTAACTCTTGCATTTTTTGCATACCTACCACGTTTTGCACAGCTCGCGGTAAACTTAGCATTGTGCGCTTCTGCGCATTTATGTGCAAACTTGTTTGATTTATTTCGGCGTTCATTTTAATTCTGTTTCTTACCATTTTTACGTTTTACGTTGTCTAGTTTCCGTTAACTACTTCCAATTCCCTATGTCAGCTGTTACACCGCGCCGCGACAGCTGGGAAACGTTTTAGCCATAGTGGCGCTTTCAAGCCAGTCCTGAGAGTATAGAAAACTTAAAGTTGTTTAGTCTCAGTTGCCACGCGACACCGCGTACATTGTTTGATTGAAGCGGCGAATTCTCACCGTTCGGTGAAATTGGATAAAGCATGGGAACGGCTTGTGGAATTCAGCGAGTGTGTCGCGGGCGGCGAGGGCTGTTTGCATAGCTCGCTTTATTGGCTGTAACGCGGCTCGATAACTGGTGCCGCCCGCGCCACGCCGCGAGCTTGCTCCCCCGCCGACGCCCCGTGTCTCGCCCGCTGACCTCTAATGAACACTCGCCTGGAAATTTACGAGCATTTCATCCGCTTCGGATATATGCAGAGTATAAAAATCCCATCATCAGCTGATGCGGGCTCTCGTATGTAACTGCTTTGTCCAACCAAATTACCCACCGCTCGTTTATAACGTCGACTGAACGTTCTGAATCCCCCGAACGCCTCTAGCGAGGTTCATCTGCTCTATTATTAACATGAGATTTTTCGGTCTCTTGATATTAATCAAAATCGTTAAATATCGATCGACTTATATCAAGAATACCAACGTATTTAACTCCTTCATTGTAAAATTTTCACATTAATTTATGTTAAAAAATTAACGTAAACCATAATCGGATTATTCGCCGCAGCTGACGGTCGTTATTGACGCCACAATGTTATGCAGCACACTGACACATGGTCTTATGTCGACTCCCAGTGATGAGTCTCCATTCATTCACAAACTCGGCTCTGCAGTGGCAATAGGGCATAAGCAGCACCTCTCGGCATACAAATCCCGACTCTATCGGTAAGCGGAATACAGTCGAGCGTCGAAATAGTCGAGTGAAGCACCTCCGGCGCCGCGTCGACCCCGTCCGATTGAGTTAAGTAAACATGGAGTATTATCTGTCAACGGACATGAATCGCTTACGTCTGTATGAGTGTATGTGGACACGAAATAATCATGTTATTCATAAAATTAACAGCCGCGATATTGGCGGTATCGTCGTCGCAGGCACCGCTTATTAATAATATAAATTAATTTAATCTAGGTCGGCTCTGGTTACAAGCAATGATAATGGATAGGATAATTTACAAAGTAACATTTTACTACGTACATTTTTCAAGTGTACTTGTTTTGTGTAGAGAAACTGAACAAAGAACTGCCCCGGAGGAGTCATGTATCTCTGTCACTGTTAAAATAAAATGCCCAGTTTGTGGGTATAACTACTTACTTATTGTAAATTAAATGTTAGTTCGTGTAAACAGCTCAATAGAATATTGTCACGTTTCGTTATATTTTAAAACCAGCTCATTGAATTGAAACTTACTTCATAAAGAAGTCTCAATGCACAGAAATAGTGACCGGGACTACCTACCTACACAGCGTTCCGGGAATCCGAGCGAAACTGCTTGTTTATGATTATGCGCCGGATGTGGCGTTAAGAATGTCGTTTTATTGTCCTAGGGCCTTAACACTTTCTTTTTAACCATTTGTTTTTATACTAAACGGCTTCTCTTTTGTCTACAGAGTTGGGAGTTGCTAGTGTTAGCGAAACTAAAGTGGGACGTCGCGGGAGTGACAGCACACGATTTCCTGCCTCTACTTCTTAAAAGGTTGCCGCTGCGAGGTGTGGTTGACACGAGCATGGTGCAGAGACACGCCCAGACGTTCATCGCGCTCGCTGCAAGAGGTGAGTGCTCGTACAGGACTCATAATTAATTAATTACTTACAGCGAACGATTAGATACGTGAAACAATTGGTATTAATCTCACTTACAGAATGGAACTGTAATCACCACATTTGCATTAGTACGTTTTGTTCGTAACAGCAGACGGCAGGTAATTAGCATCTAGATACCACGTCATGTCACGACAATGTCGCGACGACAGCCTTCGCCGCGCCCGCGCCGCGTGTCACTGAACCCTCGATTCTTACTAATGTGGAATTATACGCAGAAGAGTCGGTCCTTTCTAAAAACAATTGTACTAGACGTTGCATGGACGAACAACTGGTTATAGGTATATTGGAATCTGTCATTAAAACTTAAAAACATAGGTAAATGAAGACGTTGAAAATGCCATACAAAACCAATAGAAAAAAGGTGGCATTTAGAGTTATGAAAACGAGAGAAGGTTTATTTACCTACGTGAGCGAGGGTAGAGTAGGTAAGCGGGCGCTGGAGAGGGCTGAGGCCCCAGGCGGCGTGTGTGTCCCGGCGGCGGCGGCCGGCGCGGCGCCTCCCACGCCGCTCGCCCGAGCGCATTCCAGCACGCCTCGGGACTCCCGCCCGCGCCCCGCTGCCGCCACCTCACCCCCGTAACCCTCATGGGATCATATGTTTTTGTGCAACGGTTTTTGTTGTTCTCCGCCGCTGTCGTGTTATTTTTTGTTCAAGAAGTTCACGCTCCAGCTCTTTTATTTCACTGCTCCTCGGATATCATCCGACTTGTCAGACGGAAGATAATGCAATATGGTCCATCTTACTACTTGTTTTAAGCAACAATTGGACTGAACGAAATTAGCAGAAGAGTAAACAGACTACTTAGTCCGTGAGCCAAAATGCGATTATTTCACTTTGATCCGATGGTGCCACCAGCGTAGAACTAAGACGGTAAGTAAGTCCTTAGTAGCCGAAGTAGCCAACGACTTTATTTCACGAGCTCATCATATTGCAATGTAGACCCACATTATGTATCATTATTTGAATGGCACAATTTACTGGAATCATAACTCGTCTTGATATTAAACTCGTAATTGGGTTATTTTAAAGCTGACATGTCCCGCAGGCTTTCGTCGATGGAGATGAATTATGGATTTTGTCGTTGCTTCAAAGTCGCATCTTGACTTCTAGCAGGCAGCGATATTGTTGACCTGAAGTTGTATGTCGGCAGAGAACCGTGTGGGAAACACGATGTCTCTGTGGTGTCGAAGGAACGCGACCGCACGTTATCTATCGTTAGCTAGTAAAAATTTCATACGCAAGCTGAGCAGTAAATGTGTCGGTAGAGTAAAGACGAACGCCGGCCGCCGGCCACGGCGCGGGGGCCGCGCGGGTGTTTGTTCCGGTGGGCACTATGGCGGTGGAGCGGCCTCGCGCGTCCGTTCACCTCGCGAATAGACGCCGCCGTCTATTACCGCATCACTCCACGTTCAAGGGCGATTATGTCACTGCTGATGGGCACAATCTAAAAGCGTTCAGGACTTGTCTGTGTTGTGCTTGTCCTCGGCGTCTCTGCTAAGAATTGCTCCTTTCGATATCTTAAATTTGATTATTTTAAAGAGCTTTTCATCTACTAATGTACTTACCCTATATGTCTGAATCGAGACAAACTATTCTTTGGTGCTGTACTAGTGCTAATACGAGATATCAGCAATATCACGTCACAATGACGCCTATACATATATGGAACACCGTGCGCTCTTAAGCAGCGCATCCATTTGGCTGCATGGGTTCCGGAGGGGCCACGGTCCGGCCCTGGCCCGCCCCGGCGGCGGTCGCTGCGCCGTTCGTTCGCCGCCGAGTTCGGTCTGCCGGTAGGGTTTCGCTGTTTGATTAACATCAGATTATGCAAATGCTCCGAGTGAGCGGCCGCTCTCGTTGTTTCATCTCTTTTTTATACCTCCGCTCCTCCTGCCCGTCCCTTTATCTCCGGTATGCCGACATGCAAATGGAAAAAACTAAAATAAATCCTTTAAATGAGCTGAGAGTGTTCGATATCCATGCGTTGGTCGATATAATGGGTCCTACTTAATGATGAATGGGAGGCCCTCGAAGGCTTCGCGCGGCATTGTCGCCTGCGTCTGCGTCTTTGCGGCTCTGTTGGGCCTTTGTGGTTTCGCACCACACCCAATCTCGTTACGGCGCGCGGCGTGGGAACGTCTCTCGTTCCTATAAATAGGAATGGAAAGATCTCATTTTGAGTTGAGTTTCCATTCCTTCTTCCAAAGAATTTAAGGAACCGCATTGCCGTTAACGAATCCTATTTCAGGCTACATAGTTATTACGGGATTCGCAAGCGCCTATGCGAACAGCTGATTTTCCTGTTATTTATCATGTTTACCTCCCAATTATCTATACGTTTGAAGGGAAGGACAGATTGTGGTCTGCCATTTGTACCTTGCGCACCAACTCTAAAATATTTCCCGATGGGTTTATCCGTTTAGGTATGCTCAAGTTCTTTCTGCCAGAGTTTCTTTGCAACACGACGCGTTCAGTCCGAATTGGGTTATGGTCATCTTTTTATGTGTTGTCCGTACATACAATGGTTTCGCCAACATGAGCCCGTGAGAAATGTTCGAGTGTATCGGGTGGTGGGGTGCGCGGGCGCGGGTTGCTCGGAATGCGGCCGCGAGGGCGCGAGGGCGGGAGCCGGCTCCTTTGAGCCACACCGGCGCGGACGCAACGCCTCGCAGCTCAACTGAAGCCAAGAAACATTTTCACTCCTCACCGGATGTAACCTCTTCCCGATATTTTTTTTTAAGTTTTAACATCGTCTGAAAATAACAAACACGCACACTCTTTCTTAATTAAATCCGGAGGTTATGGCAGTTATCTAAGTAACGGAACCTGCTATCAGACCCGTGGTTAACTGATATTAGTCAAGGTTACGAGTTCATTTAAAGGCGTGAAAAGCGCAGTCATGAAATCGTTGAAACAGGAAAACCAGTGATTGTTCATTTGTAAAGTTATGGGCGACCCAGTTTACCGTCGGTATCGCTCTGTAAAGCGTTAATACATATTTGTATACCTGCGTATGTAGTAAGTAATAATGCTGCGTTCGACACCCGATTGTGAAACTCCAACTTTCGCATACTCGGAATAGTGAGTTGTTATTTGACGGCAGTTTCCGTTGTTGCAGATTACGAATTCACGCTGTACTCGGCGAGCACTCTGGCGTGTTGCAGCATCGCGGCGGCGCTGCGCGGGCTGGGCCTCGACGGCCATCTCGACACGCTGCGGGATCTCACCGGCATCGACTTGGTACGTATTCAAAAACTGTTTGAAATCTACTCAATCTCCAAAGAAGACTCATCAAATGTGGTTAAAAAAGACACAATCTCACTTGCTGTTTCTTTTGTGACAGGACTGCCTTCAGACTTGTCTGGAGCAGGTCGAGGAGATGGTGCAGAACATGATCGACGAGCGATCACAGCCTGTCCCAAACGGGCAGGCGCGGGAGGCGGGGTGGACCCCACCTCCCACGCAGGACAAGGCGCTGAGTAACGCCGCCACCCCCACCGACGTCAGAGACGTGCACTTTTGAGCGACGCGCGTGCGGCCGCAGTGAGGACTTGGCTTTAACTTCGGTGCATTAGTACGAAAATACTTTAAACTACGTTTAGTTCAAAGGTGCGACCGTGATCGAGGACTGATGATACAAAGACTGATAGTACGTGTCCGACGTAGGTATGCTACGTGTAGTGTAAGTCCACTAGTTTTTAACAGAGTAGTGTAAGCCCTATGTGCTACTTCTGCCTCTAGTCTATTTGTTCGCTTATCCACGAGGCGTGCACTGAACCAACTTTATCTTCCAGTCCTAGTTTATATGATGGCTCTTGAAATTACAATCTACCTCTTAATTGTGTAAGGCGAGGCAGTTTCAACAACCTTTGCCAATTGCTAATACAAATTTAGTCATTGTACGCTCGCATGGGACCAAAGCTAGCTCTTCACGTTTAAATTCATTTTACAATGAACTGATTTTTATACCTACTATAGATTACAGGTACATATTTTTCGTTATTTTTATATAGGTTTAAATACAATATACGTTTAAAGGGCACGTTCAATTACTTGTGCAAGTTAAGAAAAGTACCTACAATTAAAAAATCGAGGCAACACTCGAAGTTTGAAGTGTGGCAGATAAAGAAGTGCCCCTCCCCTTGCTTTCGTCAATTACAATTGTCCTTCACTTATGCTAAGTACATTTCATAAGTACAGACCATTCAAACATGCAGCGTGGAGGGAGCCATTTTTATATTATTGCTATATTTGAAATTAGAAACATTTCCTTAAACAATCGGTACTTTTGTTAACATTAACAAAAATTCCATTTAGAAATCATGACATGGCATTTTAGTTATTTTCAATTCGATTGGACAATTAAAACTATTTGATTCATGTTTTAAAGAATACAAATAATTAAATTAAGCATTTATAGCTGCAATCAGACTAATCGTGCAACGGGGGAAGGCAATAAATTACGCTTTATAATGTAAAGAATTAATGTAACAAGACAAGACATTGTGTTGTAACACACGACAACATTCGTCAATTGCTTATAGTGACATTACCACATTTCAGAATTGAACTTACTGGCTTGTTCCCGTTGCTTTTTCTCTACCCTTTGTGATCGCGTGTGCGTGAAGAGGTTTTTTTTCTGTTTCTATTACTCCAACCCCATCAAGATTTTCGTTAAAAAGGAAGAAGAATTTCTATTTAATGTTTTACAGACAACGCGAACAAAATTGACTCGTGTAATGCAATGGAGAAACGGGAAAATCAAATTCTCACACGCTAGCGATGAAAGAGGAACAAGCCACTTGGGCACCTAAATAATAGCGGTTGAAAGTTGTATTGAAGATTCTCTTAAAAATATTGTACGTATTGTATTTAAGTAATTTTGTTCCTTTTTGATAAACAATGTACCAACGCGTTAGTTTTAGTAACGTTGTAATGTGATAAGGATAAGTGTTGCAAAGTTGAACTTCATATCATAGTCACTTCCAGTCATAATATATTAAATTTAGGAATACTATGTTACGATTCGATTTATTAACGATAGGTGAAAAACAGAAAAACAATGTGATTTCGTATTGATAAGGTGTTAGGGTAGGTAGTGTGTAGTCATTTAAATTCACATAATCGTTCCTATTCTAGCAACCATTGGAAGTATGATTACGCAATAGTCAATGACATTTTCCTGTACTTAATATAAACACTATGCGAGGACAAAGCGTTCACTAACTACAATTGTGATATAGTTTTCCAGATTTGTTAAGTAAGTAATGCTTTTAACACGGTACGGGTGGCGCAGGAGACAACTAGGTATTGTTTGTTTAGCATTTAGTTTAGTATAACTGTAAGGTTTTGTATCTCTACAAATAAACGACCGGCCGGTCGGAATCTAGACGTGTTTATAAAAACAGAGTCCAACGTCTTCCATTACATAGGATAATCAGGCAACGCCGAGAGAGCAGTGCTGCTCCTATACATATAGACGCGGATATATTTTGTCATTACATATGTTATTCATACCTCAGGAACACTACTAGCAATATGCCTAATTATCCTTAAACTTAGGTAACACTAGACTTTAGCGATCTGCTATGTAGATATTGTAGAGCTAAATGTAAATATAACATAAAATATGCTGTAAGCATGTGGTGCCATAAAAAAACACTACTATAAAAGTATTTCGTTAACTAATAGCAATAAAGTATATAATATAAAGTGAATAAATACAACGCCGTGTAACGATTGACCTTACGTATTCATCAATGACCTACAGAGCAGTTAGACAGTGCGTATATATGTATACCTACGCATACATACAATTCGGTTATGGAATGTAACGCATATATAAATTGTCATAAATGCAAATATAGTATGTTTAATTATTTAGTTTGTACGTAAAATTATGTGGGAAAATATACGCATTACAAAGTTAGTCTTTATTTAAATGCTTATTTGGCTTGTGGACTGGCTTTTTCGAATAGGGTAAGGAATTAGATGGTTACTTTGATATGAAGTAGGTTAATAAAGAGTTGTAGAGAGAAAGCAACTTTCCAGTGATGTATATTAGAGGGCAGGAGCGTCGCTTGTGGCGACACTTATATATCGAACGATGTGATTTAAAAAAGCGAAATTCTAAAGATTATATGACACGCTAATGTGCCTCATTTTGAATTTATATGTGATTTTTACTTTTAAGTTTGTGTTCGGATTGGATGATCGTCGCAATTGTCGAGATGTAAATATTTAAAAGAAACTACAATAAAAAATTCCAAAATTACAGACTTTTTCACTATAATCTTACCTTTACAATTTCAAAATAATACTGGTAGTATTTTTAAATAAAAGATGAAATTCTCAATGGAATACCGTTTATTGAAAACAAATAGCGATTTCATATCGGTCGTATAATACATATTATTTTACACATGTTCGCATTATATATTATACTTACAATTGAAATAATATACTGCCATAAGTAGGTATACGTTTTGCAAAAAAGGCACGTTTATAAATTTCTTTATTCAATATTAACAGCTTCGGATACTTACGTCGCCGCAAGGAACCTTTTTAATACAAATTATATATATTTTCAATAAATATTATTATAACAGTAATTTTAACGCAAATAATTATATAGGTATTTACAAACTAAATGGATGACGCCACAGAACCATGACTGTCACGTTCTCGTGGAGATGAAAAGGTAAGTTGACAATTTCGAAATACAAGGAATGTGATTTGATTGCATTAATCATAAGTTCGTTCGTTCGTACTTGCCAATTCCGAGGACAACGTTACTTACCGCTAACTGGAATATTTTTATAAATTTGATTTACTTATTACAATTTATTATAATCCGGTTACAGTAACACAACGCGCTTGTGATGAATGTTTTGATGTCTACTATTGCTTTTGGATGCTGGTCGTTTGTATTGGGCTTTAATAACTGCTGCCCATGATAGGAAAACAAAACAACACAAAACTGTGGATGTTACAGTTCTGTTATTGGCAAGTCAATAGGGTGCATAATTTGGAGCAAAACGTTTTTCTCGAAACATTTAAAAATTGTGGTAGCCAGTGGTGGCAAAATGTTTTAAATGCAGAACAGTTAATGGTAAAGAATTTAGTACCAAACTTCATAATTTTTTTTTTGCGTATGACTTACTGTTTTTCATGTTAGCAGAAATAAAGGGGTAGAACTATCTAAGGAAATGCATTTGTTCAGAGACTGAAAAATGCATGGTTATTTTTTGCAAAAGCGTCTTGGTGCTCAATCAGTCCCTGCTATTGTTAATGTGTCATATCTGATACGTATAGTAATGGTTTGCGAGACTCTCGCTTCCAGTGTCTCGCCGTCGCCCTATCCAACCTGCGTAGGGAATAGGTTCATTACAATGAATGATCCTCAATAGAAGGTACACCGGCGCGAAACAAACGCGACCTACAACACGGAACAGTTATTTTCAAGACCTAATTTATCACTTTTGCATAAACGCGTCCCGTTTATTCGAACATGAAATACAGTAAATCCTGCTTTAATACTTGTTAGAGTATACACATGGGACCCTTTCTTTAAATTGTTTTATTCAATTATTAATAATACCTAGTAGAGCTGTTGAACTCACATGTGGACTACTTTGGGCGTGGTCTTGCCTCGTAGCCAGTTTAGAAGAACTGTGGATGTGCTCTGCGAATCTCGTGCTGCAAAAGAATCACTAATTAATAAACAAACAAACCGAATTGTTACACAAATAAATATTATTATGGCACCCGCTTTTGTTATTACCAAAGTCGCAATGCAACAAGCGGAGCGGGATTTCCCCGGTACATGTAACGTACAGAGTACTTTGTGGAAAAGGTGCGGCCGGCGGCCATTTTATCAAACTACAGTACATAACCGGAAATCCGTACAATTTAAGTGTAGCTTCTCAGTACAGTCCAATTGGCGCATGTTAATAAAAATTAACACAAACAAAAATGCTTAATACCTTCGAAGGGCTAAAGTGGCAAAGTTTCCTCCAAATAAAATCACACAACGCTCTGCCTCCTTAATCACGGCGATCAAACATCGTGAAGTGATAGCCTTGAATAAATATTATATTTGCATCAATGTCTCGCAGAGCAGCAGCACTTCCACGAAGTTTCATCGATATACTTTTTATATAAGTTCCGCATATCACCTCATGTATTTAAAATGGTTTAAATGAAAGTATTTTAAATGAAATGGAATTTAAATTAGTTTCTTGCCTAGGGTCTCGCATTTCAAATTGGCTTCTACAGAACGTACCTGCTGTACCAAAATAGAAGAACTCCTTCGACCTGACAGCACTCGCACCTGTATCTGTTTTTCCAATCTAGGGAAACGGAAACCGCTACTAAGCTACAGAGTGAATCAACACACCTTACGAATCTCTCTACGCGCTTCTTACAGATCTCTGTTTATGGTTTTAACGGCTTTGAGCCGCAGCGCCACCTGGGAGAAATCTAGGGAATTTTTCTTCTTTTCGTTGCCCTAGATTGGCAAAACAGACACCGGTTCCAGTCCTATCAGATCGAATGGATATTTATTTGTTTAATAATAACAAACTACTTGAGTAATTATTACACAAAAAAATGATATCATGGCAGTTAAACATCATTAATTGCTGTCAATATTAAAATATAAAAGCGCATTTATTTATGTAGTACACCTATGCCTCACGGGTAAAGCTAAATGTGAGAACGTACAAAAAGTATGGTGCGCCTGCGCCAGTTGATCAACAGCCTCTGGCGGCAGGTTGGCGACGTCTCGCTGCAAAAGTCGCAGGTCCAGCTGCCGCTGCTCACTGTCCTGCCGCAGCCGAACGTCGCGACTGTGCCGCACGCTGCGCAACTCCGACAGCCTGCCAATTCCCTCACAAGTTATAAACAAATCACTTTGTCGCATTTCATAACATAAAAAAATCAAATCGGCTTTATTTGACATGCCAAATACACGGTAACCTATAACAAACTCGAATTTTTTTCCGAAATAACGTTTGTCCGAATTTTCATTACCCCAAAACCGAATTAAAACAAAACCGTGTTGTTCTTTCAGGATATGTTGGATGTTTATCACAAAGACACGATTAGATTAGGTTAAGTTAGGTTTAAAAGAAAAACCATTTTCCTCTCAAAATTACTTTCGAGGTTATGAAAATTCGACCAAACGTTATTTCTGGAAAATGTCATATCGGACTTCTGATAGGTAATCAAAATACATACATACATCTACATTTCAAACAAAAAATTAATAAAAATAAATTCAGGTTAAAATCCAAAAAGCATGACACAAGTGTCACTAAATCAGCATCTGAGGACTATGCTACTTACATAGCATAAAACGATTTCTGCGATTTTTTAATTATAAGGCCAAACAACTGAGTATCTAAGCTATCAGCACCGATGCAAGCGGTATGACTTTCTACCTCTTCAAATGCATCGTGAAGTGAATGACGTTTGTTTTATAACTAAACTAGCTAATGACAACGTTGACTGTCCGGAGTTATGTCGCGTCTCTTGGTAGCGTCTCTTGCTTCGCATACCTCTCGTTCACCCAAATTACCAATACAACACATTCGTATTATGTCGCTGTGAAACATGTAATAAGCACTGTGACTAACTCTGTAGGAGTTTGAATTACTTTGGTAAACCATAATTGTAAGCTCAAATCTTGTTATCGGCAATGTATATAATCCGGTATTCTATACAACACCAAAAGTGCCTCATATGCATAAAATTTGTTAAGGCGAGTAAATGTAGTTAGAGTTAAATGTAGATGCACATAGCAATATGATAATAGGAAGTGCTTGTGTATTAAGAAGAATATTTTATGTACGTCCAAGTGTCTCAATAGTTCATCTTGTAGGAATAAGAGGTAATTAGAAGAATTGATAATTAAATTGCAAATGATATTTGTTTAAGAAAATTCCTATTTTTTCGAACAAATTGTTATACTATAGTAGCATGCTAAATATGCATGCTACACAAATGAAACTTAACATACCGTTTATGTATCAAGCAAAACTGTCATATTAAGTGATTATCTGATATCTGAAGTAAATGCAATTAATTCTTTGACTTAATATAAGTAAGACCAGCATTGACTTACAAATAAATGGACGACGGGTCTAATACAAAAACCACGAAAATAATGTCCCAAGTCAACCTATTCGAAATTTAAATTGTTATGTCATCGCAGTATCGCGCTGTCCGTAGAACAAATGAAGACTAAAGCGGAGTGTCGCGCTCTGTATACGATTTTAGCGCCTTACAAGTGCGGACACTTTTTAGCGCGGACCCGACGTCCATATAATTGTAAGTCAATGAAGACCAGCAATAATTTTGATATTCAAATGTGGAGGAATAGGCCTTCAGATAATATTTACTTCATTCTATTATTTCCTAATTAATTAATTTCCTAACATACCATTTTTTCAATTATAGCTGTAGTTACCTAAAAATAAAATAAAGTATTAAGGCTGCTTAAGAAATATTTCAAAGGCAGGTTAAGTATTTAAGTAAATAAGTACGTAACAAGTGCTAAGATATACTAACTTGGCTTGTAACTTGGGTTTCTCTCCGTCAACATCGCTAATGCTGCTGCTGCGCGACGACTGTCCGCGGTGAGTGTCCACAAACTCTTTCTCCGCTGAGAAGGTCGGCAGTTCTGGCAAACTCTCTTGCGTAGGACTCATAGATACCTCAATACCGCTGGACTCACACCTTGTCTTCAACTCTTCCAAAGATCGCAAACTATCTGACAACCGCAACTGTAAAGTATCTCTCTCTTCAAGTAACTGCGTAAGCTCCATAGTAAGCTCTTCACACCGCACATCTCTCTGATGCAACATGTACAACGCCAAATCCAATTCTGCTCTAGGAACGGCGTCAATAAGGTCTTTGTTTAGCACACCTTCAGCCTTATCTTCACCTGCGCCGGGTTTAGTACCGGAAGCGAATGTCACATGCTTTTCAATCTTGCTGCTAGATTTCAACAAATTCGTTAATTCGTCTTTAAGCGTGACTAGTTCTATCTCTTGGTTCTCTAGTGCTGATTGCATATCTTTATTGCTGTTTGCTTGCTCCTCTAGTATTTTATTTAAATCTGTTATCTGCTTGTTAATACCGGTGCATTCCACTATTTTTGCATTAAGTGCTTCAGTAAGACTTAACTTTTCCACTTCTAAATTACTTTGCAATTTTTCGTAGTGTTGCCTGTTTTCGTGCATTTTCAACCTCATTACAGCCAACTCTGACTCCTTTTCGTAGCTCAAATCTTCAATTTTCTTTTCATACTCAAGTAACTTCATTCTAACATTTTCAAACTCTTCGTTTCGTTGGTTCAGGGCAATTGTGTAGTCATGGGTTTTCTGATGAATTTCACTATCTTTCATTCGAAGTTGATTGGTTAAATCTAATATTCTTTCTTCACTTTCCGAAACCTTTTTATGGATTTGCTCTATCTGTTGAGTAAGGTCATCGTTAGAAGCCTTTGCAGCAGCCAACTCAATTTGAAGCTTCATATAGGCTTCTTCATAATTTTCCGAATGTTGCTTTGAAGTGTCGGTTAATTCTTTTATTTGCTTTTCATACTCTTCTTGTTGTCCTAATAACTTATTTTCGAACATAAGCTTTTCATCTTCTATTTCTGAACGCAACATATCAAGTTGACCTATCACATCGGCGTATTTGTCTTGGAGATTATGCAGGTGTTCCTGTTTATCCTGTAATTTATTTTGGATAGTCGACAACTGCTCCATCATAACTAATTTGTTGGTTTCTTCTTGATTCGATGATTGGACATTATCAAGCAACTGTTCATACTTGGCTTCGAAAGCACTTAGCTGTGCTCTTAACTCTTGTTCTATATTTTGAAAATCTGACTCTCTTTGCGCTAAATGTTGCTTCCATAACTCAGCGATTTCAAAACCTCGCTGATCTACTGCACTAGACACTGCAGCTCGTAATTCAGCGACGGTAGATAAAAGTTGATCATTTTCGGTATTCAGATTTTGTATTTTAGCATCAAGTTCGGTCGCTCGTTGTTCATATTCTTTGATTTTCTGCAGTAATTCACGATTCTCAGTCTCAAGCGCCAAAATTTTACAGTTTGCTTCATCGAGATTACGTTTCAGTTGCGAGCAATTATCTTCTAAGGCACTATCTTTCTCAGATACTGCTATTGGATCTTCTTGTGAATGTCGAGTGCTGTTCTGTTCTTGTAGCCAAAGTAGCTTCGACTGAGTTGATTTTAGTTCAGATGCAAGTAATGACACTTCGTTCAAAGCTTCAGACCCTGACTGTTTTAATTTTAAAACATCATCTTTAAATTTATTTTCAATGTCCAACAAATGATTATTTTTACTTTCTAGTGCACCACGAAGTTCTCCGATTTCAATTGTCGATTGTTCGTATTTTTGCGTTATTTCATTGTAACTTATTTCAATTTCACGTAACTTCTCATTCAAACTGTCTCGGTTAGTAAGAAGCTCAGTGTTATACTTTTGCAACTCCTCTACTTTACTCTTAATATCGTCGAAGTCACTTGCCGATTTACTCAGTTGTAATTGTTTGTCAAGATCGATTATCTTTGCTTCGAGTTGTTCTTGTTGACTGGTAAGGTGCTTATTTTGCAACGTCAAATTATCGATTATCGACTGCAACTCATCGTTTTCTTTTTCAAGTTTTCCGATTTCTTCTTTAAGAGCGTTATCATTAACAGGTGTATGTGTTTTAGGACCAGGTGAAACCTTTGTATCAGAGCCCCACTGTAAGGTAGACATTTTGTCATTCGCTTCTTTAAATTTGAATTTCCATAATTCAATATCATTATCTAATTTCTCTTTTATTTCAATAAATCTTTCGTTAGCAATACCTAACACTTCATTTTGTTTTCTTAATGCTTCTTTTTCACGTTTTTCTTTATTCAAATCTGCAGTAAGTTCTTTCACTTTGTTTTCTAGATGCTGGACGTTAATTTTTAGCTCATCCTCAATTGCGGTCTCTAAAAATGATGATCCAGAAATCTGTTTCGATATCTTCAACTCATTTGACAACATTTCATTACTAGTTTTCAATTCCTTCAATTTTTTCAAAGCTTTTAACAACTTCGTATTGCTTGCATCGAGGTCAGCTTTCAAAGCTTCGTTGTCTTTTTGGAGTTGGTGTAACTGATTTGTCATATGTGACATCCCTGGTGTCACTTCTCCTAGTTCTTCCCCTTCACCAAAGCCCCAACCCTCTTCTGAATTAAATGGATCGTCACTTTGTACTGGCTCAGCTTCCTCTCCTTTATAACACAGATAAGCCTTCTTGGCTACAACCATGGGTTCTGATATCTCTTTAGTGGGTTCTTTTCCAGCAGACTGTTTCTGGTTCTTTTCCGATGTCTTGGCACTAGCGTGCTCTTTGCTGGCGTCAAATACATCAACACCAGATACTATTTGTGAATCAATCAAGGAAGTATCGAATTCTTTAGATGCATCACTCAATGGTTCAATGGTGGATGAAATCATTAATCCTTCAGTCCTTGGTATATTCATTTCAAAAGACACTGTCTTCTTTTCTGTCAATTGCTTAATTTGATCATCTTTTTGGTCTACAAGGTTTTGCAATTTCTCGATATTCATTTTCATGGAATTGGATTCTTCAGACAAACGTTGGATTACCGATGCTGAATGCATCAATTGTGCATTGAGTTCATTGATTTTACTCTCCAAATTCGAGTTTAATGCCAAAGTTTGTGTCTGTAAACTTTGAATCTTATTATTGAGTTCGTAAATTTCTTGATTTTTACCGTTAACAATTGAATTTAATTTGTTTATTTCGCTTATATACTGTTCTGTGTAATCGGGAACTTGTGATTGTTCTCTTTGCGTTTTATCAATTAATTCATGATTTATTCTTGTCATTTCTTCAATATTTATCTTTAGGGTCTCATTATTGTTTCGATACTCGTGAAGTTTTTGTTCCAGTTGAGTAACATGTTCACTCATTTTCTCATATTTTTCACTTAAAGCCTTCTTTTCTTTGATGGCATTTTCAATCTGTGTGTTAAATTCAGACTCTATTTCCTCAATGTCGTGTTTCTTTTGTGCAAATATAGTCTGATGTTCTTGCGTAATCCGTTTGATAAAGGCTTCGAGTTCATGTAGCTGAGATTTACACTTAACCATTTCAGTTTCAGCCAAATCTGTCCTACTTGCTTTTTCTTCCAAAGTGTGACAGTGTTCTTGTATATCAGAAATAGACCTACGCAATCGTTGATTTTCCTCGATCAAATGTTGAGTTTTATATTGTAACTCTTTATTTTCATTTTCTATTTCATGAAGCTGCTTTTCGACAACCCTGTCATGATCCATAAGAACTGCCAATCTACTCACTAAATGGTCTTCCTGACTGGTGTATTCTGTGTAAGCTTTCTGTTTTTCTTGTAGTTGACTATCTAACTGATCGGCTTTACGTTCCAAAGTTTTTCTACGATCTTCCATAACGGATATGCCATCCTCAAGACGACAGATGCGATTCTTGAATTTACTAATTTCGGTTTCTAAGCTTTCAATGTACAAGTCTCTTTCTTGAACTTTCGCATCATACCCAAATCGTACTTGAGTTAGCTGCTGTTCTAAATGTTCAAGTTTGTTCAGCAGCTCGTTTATTTCAGATTGTTTCTGATTTAGTTCACCTTCCAAACTAGATATTTTTGTAAAAAAGTTCGTATTAGTCTTCTGTTCTACTTCATAATCAGCTAATTTATTATTTAAAGATTCAATTTGTGTTTTGAGGAGCGTATTTTCGTCTTCAGTACGATTTAGTTCCTGTTGTAGTTCACTGTAAGATTTATTTAAAGTTGACAGTTCATTAATGGCATTGGTTATTTTTTCTTCAAGCATTTGGAACTCCTGACGTTTCTGCTGCTCTAGAGCAAACTTTTGCGACTGTAGACGATTTACTTCTTCTTCAGCATGTTTCAATTTTTCTTGTAAAGCCGGCAGTGTCTCCACTTGTATAGTCAATTGTTCCAACTGTGCATTCTTAACTTCCAGCTGCTTATGTATCTCATTTAATTCGCCTTCTAGTTCACTGTACATGGAAGACTTCTTTTTCACAGTGGCAGCAAATTTCTTTAATTTTTCCATGAGAGCCTTATTTTTCGCGTCTATTGCTGTATATTGTTCTTTCAGTTGTTCGTTTTCTATGGATAGTCTGCTTACATGCTCTTTAGCGTCTTCAAACTCTCGATTAAATTCTTGTGAATTATTATCCTTTTCGGATAAGCTAGTACGTAGTTTTTCATTTTCTATTGATTCCTTTCTCAATTGCAGTTTGACTTCGTGCACTTCTTCGTCACGCTCCTTAAGTTGAGACATTACATTAGATATTTCTTCTGCATGTTTCTGTTGTTGTGACTGCAACTCTTTAATTAAACTTTGTTTCTCTACAAACAATTCTTGCAATTTTTTCAATTCTGTTTCTATGTTATGGTTCTTATTTTCCAAGGCTGTCTTTAAATTCAACAATTGCGATTTTTCTTCTTCTAACGTTTTCAATTTATCTTCATATTCAGTCAATTTTTTTTGATGTGCAGTTATTTGTTTATTGAGAGTTTTGACAAGTTCTCCGTTTGGATCCTTAGCTTTCTCTTCTTCGAGTAATTCAATAGTAGATTTCAGCTTTTGCGACACATCGTTAAGCTTGGTGATTTGATTAATATACTCAGCCAAATCTTTGTCTTTTTGTTGCAAAGTATTTCCATAGTTATAAATTTGTTTCTCATATTCTATCAATACATTCTCTAATTCGTTTATTCTAGCATCCCTGCTGTTAATCGTTGTAGAATAGTCTTGATGTAACCTTTGCATTTCTTGTTGTAACAATTCATGACTTTGTTTTAAAAGGAATAACTGGTGTTCGGATTCGCTGTTTACTTTAGTGTTTTCTAATTCTAGTTTCAGTTTATGGTTCTCTTCAGATAAACTCTTCAATTTACTTTCATACGTAGAGTTCATTTGCATTAGTTCATTTTGCTTTTGCTGTTGTTCTTCTAAGGCTAGTATCTTCATTTGACAATCTCCAATCTCTGCTTCCCTTTCTTTTATGATGTTCTTCAATTTAAGTATTTCTTTGGTCAATTGCTTAACAGACTTTGTTCTATTATTTCCTTTCTCGCCCGCAATCTTATCATCTTGTTGTGTTTCTGACGAAGCTCCCTCTGGAACATCATCCATACTCGATGGTTTCGATAGCTCAACACTTTCTTTTATGATTTCAACTCGTTCTCGTTTTAATTCTTCTATTTGGTGATTGAGTTCTTCGTTCAACTTAGATAGTTCTTGTTTTTCATGGCTTAATAACTCTATGTTATTGTGCAAAGAGTTACATTGTCTGTCAAGTTCTGTAATTTTTTCGTGTAGCGATTCATTCTCGAAGCTGATTTTACTCATCTTTTCCATAACTTCCTGCCTTTCTTGAGTAAACAACTCAATTTTGCTGTTCAGTTCAGCACTCTGTTCTACTAACTTTTCTATGTTCTCCTGACATTCAGGCGAAACATGTAAGTCTGAAGGACTTTCTTCCATTTTGTGTTCAGTCAAACCCTTGCTATATTCTTCAAGTTCTAATTTTTCTTGAGTGGTAAGCGATTCCACAATTTCAATAGATTCTGCAGAACTTACTTTATCAGCACTTAATTTCTCGAGTTTGTCAGTTAATTCCATGTTTTCTTGAATGTAATTTTCTAGTTTATGCATTAATTGATCTTTTTCTTCCTGTAGTGATTTGATTGTCCCTTCAAGTTGACCCTTGTCTAATTTGAGGTTTTCTATGACTAGCTCTAACTCCTTCGTTGAAGCACTAAGCTGATCTATTTGCTCTTCTAACTGCACCGATTTTATTTCAGAACTGACTTGTTCAGTTTGCAGGTGCGACATGTCTGCCAGTTTATCTTCCATATCCGCGTTCTTTTGTTGGAGTTCATGCAACTCTGCAAAAACAATACAAGCAAATTAAAAATTTGGTCAATGCGTAATACAATGCTACAATACTATGTGGAATATCCTAAATGAATAAATACTAATATATTATGATAGTATTTACCTTGAACTAAATCAAATTTCTGTGCTTCTAATACACTAATTGCCTTTAATCTAGTTTCAGCTAAAGTCTCCATCTTCACTAATTTCTTATAGACATCTGATTCAGTTACTGCAAAAGTAAATATTGTAAAATATTAATAAATGACATATCACAAATCTGATAACAAATGAAAACAAACGTACATCTACCACTGTCATAATCAACAAGGTGTAACTGCAGATTTCCTTTTTCTTCCTCTAATTCAGCAACTTTTTGGGACAGCTGATGCAAATCTTCATTTAGTTTCACTATTTCAGCATTAGAATCCGACACTTTGCTAAAGTTTTCAATAGTTTTTTGCATTTGCTTTAATTTCAATTTGTGGCTGGATTTTACTTTGATCATATTCTTATTTGCTGCTTCTATTTCACTATTTAGAGCTGCTATTTGGTTTTCAGCAGCCCTTAATTTATCAATGAGTTGTTTTGGATCTAATGTAGAGTAATCTTTATCGTCCCTTTCATCAACATGTCTTGTTCCTTCTTGATATTCTAGAGTTTGTGTTCCCACGTCCGTCATATCTGCGTGTGGTTTAACTTGTAATTTTAATTTACTTATCAAATCTTCATGTTCTGAAATAGCTGACTGCAGTTCAGTAATCAATAAGTCTTTTTGAGATATTGTGTATTCTTTATTTAAAATATCTTTATTCAGAGACTGAATTACCATTTCTAATTTCATTACGTCATTTTTATTTGCTTTCCTATCAGTTTCTTGAGGTAATGATTCGGAAGACAATTTACTCCAAGGTGACTTCGCCTTAGATGATGTGTTTCTACCAGGCTTGCGTGTTGGTAATGGACTTCCTTTTTTGCTTGGGGAAGCACTTTGCGGGTTCTTTTGCTCAGAACCCATAGAAACTATCGTATTTTCTAATTCTTTATTGGTCTGTCTAATTTGACAGTTAAGCTGTTCTAGTAACTCGATTTTCTTGGTTAATTCCACCATATTCGCTATTTCGATAGATCCCTTCTCTTCTTCCACATCTTCTTTCTCCTTCTGTGTAAGTTCTTCCACTTCCACTTCCTTTGCTCGTATTTGATTTGTTTCTTCTGTTATTTTTTCTATTTTTTGTGTCAATTGCAAAATTTCTTTATGTTTACATTCTAATTCTTCAACTAATTTTGAATGTGCAACACTAATTTCAAAGCGCGAATTTTCCAAAATGGTGTTGGCTTCCTCTAAATGACTGATTTTCTCATCTTTTTCTTCAATTTGTTTTAGCAACCTATTTTTTTCTTCTTTCCATTCTGTTTCCATATTTATAAAATTCTCTTGCATTTTAATCATTTGCTGTCTAGTGTCTTCTAGTAAAAGTAAAGAATCTTTTTCTACAAGAAATAAATATTATATTAGTATGGTATTTGAAATTTTAACAAAGTTATTTTAACAAGCTTTAGTGACACGTAGAAAAGTATTATGGAGTATTTAGAAAAGTATTATGCCATGTCGAATGCCGCCTTCGACAGACTATTCGATTAGCCGAAGAAGGTGAGTCGACTGCTGCCTCTTCGGCAAGCTAATCCGCTAACGAACGCAGCGTAGTCGACGCGTTGTTTACACCGAGTCGACAGCCGCTTTCGCCGAAATCACAAAGTCATTATAATACAAGTTTACACATAGAGACTAAACAAATAGTTCAAAACGTTCAATGAACTGATCGAGTGGGTACTCCATTCTCCGAGTTCTCAGCATGCGTATCGTCGTGGTGGCGACTCTCGTTTACAGAGTCGCCCGATAGTGATTACCAATAGTCGAAATAGTGTGTTCCAAATGAGTAGATAAATGTCTACTTAAAGACAATAAGAGTTAAAAAAATAGACAATATAAAAAATATACAAGGTGTGGTTAAAAGTACCAAATATTTTTTATTACGTTTTTCGAAATCCGGATTTCCGGAAATAATTTTGCTGCATCTTTGGATAAATCTACTCACCTAGAAAGCTAAAGTTGGATTTTGCTTGTAGCTTATAAAAAATGTTAACTTTGGTGAAAATCTACTACATTTTAATACTACTTGCTTGTAAATAGTATAATTGCATGGTGACTAACTTGAATGTAATGCCCCTAATAAAGCCACAGTCGGTAAGTACATTTTTTTTATTTGTAGCACGACATAGTTCCTTACATAGGTCAGGTCAACTTCAAGCAAAGAGGTTACTTAAGTTCAAACTTGAAACATTTGCTAAAAATGTTATCTAAACGGAAATTTAATTGTAATTCAGTCACTTACCACTTCAATACTGATTATTAAGAATTTCTTATAATAGATTTTAATTATTTTCTGTATAAAAACATTGCAAATTTTATTTAAGGTCCATCATGGTTGTGAGTTTTTGCTTTTAACAGCATTTTAGTTCGAGTTTTATTATGTATAGAAGAATATCTAGCTAGCCATGCTGATGAAAAAAAAACTAAACTATTAAAAAAATATATTTAATTTGTTTTATTAAAACTAATTTATTAAAAATTAAAACTGCCTTCCTGGCCAAACGGTTACCTTGCCGTTTATTGCCTGTGGTCCAACTGCGTAGGCTGGTCTGCCACACGGAGGTCCCGGGTTCGATTCCCGGGCCGGAAGAAATATATGTATGGCTTACATTTATTTCTCTCGAGAGTTAGGGTGTACTTATTACATTAATTATTAATTTGTGGTTGTCAATGCGTGCGTCCATGGCACCCGCGACATAGGGTTTCCCTAGTGCGGGGCAATGAGTGTGCGCGTTATAAAAAAAACCCAACCAATTACAAAATCCATAATAATTGTTGTGTTATGAATCATTTTTATTCATATAAGAAATAAACATTGTATTCATTTCCTCGCAAATGTGATGAAAAGTATTGTTGTACAAAACTCGAGTTATTAAAGTCATTATCAAATAAGAGACCAAATTTGACAGCAAAAGAAGGCGATAGTATGTAAATTTGAATGCGATCAACGAAACAACAAACAAACGATTATTGGCATTGTTGTATTTTAAAAATATACATCAAGTTTTTGAAACATTATACAATATGACAAAACATATTTGAAGTACCGTTTTCCCATGAATTCCAAAATGAAAATGCAATTTTGAGTTACTCCGAAACGTCCTGAAAACTATTAGTTTTGAATAATAGTATTGTAGCAATTAATCGCCGAATTTCACCAAGTCACTTCGATTTCTCGGAAAAAATATATGTAGACTTGTTAAATATTAAAATAAAAATAGATATATTTTAAATAATTGTGTATATTACATCTCTGACCAAACAAATTTATAATTTATCAAATTTAAGAGTCCTGTACTATAGCCAGATTTGCATTTCCTTTTCTTTTTTGCAAATTTTGAATTGGCAACACTGATATGAATCCAGCGGCACCAGAGTCTGCGCTCGCGCACCGCGCAATCTTTCGCCATCTTGGAAGTTGACTGTTCGCTTGGTTATTTTCGGTGTTTTTCTTGTGACTTGGCTTTGCTTTCGGACTGTTCCTATCTACCGACCCGAGAGATAGGGTTTTCCGTAAAGACTACGGGCTCGCAGCTAGCGCGTCTTAGTAGCGGTCTAGTTGAGGGCCCGAGGCGAGGGGCACATGAGTTGCCCTTTAAGTCGGTGGCTATGTCCGAATATTGTCGCAGGACATTGCCACTTGGCGTCTCCAGCACTAGCCCGGAGAGCTAGTAGAGGATGAGCTAGACATCTTCCGGTCCCTCCAGCCGCATAGGAATCTGGGAACTGGAGAGACGCCATTCATTCAGCGTCGGGAAGTGAGCGTGACTTACAGCTCCGCCACCAATGAGGAGATTTGGTAGTCGGCTTAGAGTCGGCTGGTCGGTCGGTGTCAACCATTAGTCGTGCGGAGTGTGACGGGAAGTGAGCGTGCCTACAGCTCCGGTACCTATCTGGAAAATGGAGGATGCTGTACGTGCACCCGGTGACGACTACAAAGCCTTTCGGCTTTGGGCTTCTAATAGACCCTTGTTAAAAAATTTCTTATTTACCGTTCTATCGTACCTTAATACACTATGCACTATTACGCCACTAGAATTACTTTAAAATCCAACTTCAGCTTGCTAGGTGACTAATTTTATCTCACAATGCAGCACAACTATTTCTGGAAATCCGGAATTCGTAAGAGTAATTAATTAGTACTTGGTGGTTTAAACCATTGCATGTCACTCCTTGTATCTATATGTACCTATTTTCTCAATATCTCTCGGCAATCATGGGATTTCCGAATAAACACGATTAATTTTCATGAACATTAATTATTAGATTTAAAAGCCATAATAATAATTTTAATTTTGAATAACATACTTTATTGTCGTTTTGTTTTGATTTCCGTGTGAATCTATATAGATAGATCTGTAAAAATATTTCCTTATTTTTAATAATAACATTTACTCCATTTCAATAAGCAAGTTAATAAAAGTATAAAGTAAACAAAGTGTGCTTCTTTTATATAACTAAAATGTATATTTTTCTGGTTATTACTCTTTTCAATTCAGTTTGTATCTAAACGCATTTCTTCATCTGACATAGCTATTATGTTAGTATGTTCGCCATTGATGGAATAATCACTTTCTATGCTGCTCAAACAGGTATTGGCTTCGTGTAAAAAATACAAGTACATGCTGTAATTTATCTATCGTGCCTGTGACTTTAGCGCTTTACTCCCATTGTATATAACAAATAAAAAATGTTATAGCAACTCTATATACTTCCAAATCGACTAAAAGCGTCCGGTCTGTACCAAATGCAAAGGGTAACTAAGTAAAACCTGATGACAGCCGAAACACGAAGTTTGCCGAGTGACAGTGAAAAAAATAGCAAAAAGCATTATAAACATTTATATACTCATTTGGAACACCATTGGTAAACACCAAACCTGTGAAACCGCCTAATTGATTTCAGTACTGAAATATGTTCAGCAAATGACTCAGTATTTACACAGTCTCGTCGGCGGCCAAGGGAAGGCGACTTGTCGAACTAGTGTAAATACGCCATTAAGTTCTACCGAAACTAATGATAGTTAAAAATAATGCAAACCTTTTTTAGTTAAACTATCAGACATCAAGGTCGTAGCTTTATTCTTGGCTTCTATTATTTGGTCTTTCTCATTGATTTTCTCTTGTAAATCTATTATTGTGGTTTCCATTGCTTTAATCCTCACTTGCATTACACTTATAGCATTCTCCTTGTCTTTCAAACTATTTAGTAGTTGAATTACATCAGTTGGTTCTTTGCTCTGTACCTGAAAGCAAACATGAATAAAACTGATACATTTTCTTAAATCTTTTTTAAGAGGCCTGAAACATTCGGGCATTTATGTTGGTCTCATAACATATGTATACATATAAATAACTATCCTACTTATCTGTCGCTACGCCCATGAGAGGTATTGCTCCTCATCAGAAAGCAAGACCTCACATAGGAGTATAGAGCTTAAGCACTCTGGGTCGACGGATTGCTCTGCATTGAATTTAGCTCTTCTACCTGACCAATGTCCTTTAATTGATGTTGGACCCGACAGATCGCCTATCGATCACATTCCCTTAAACGAAGCTTGTCTTCCAACTAGTTACAGAATTGGCAGAGGGGATTCTGCCCTTCTCATGAGATAGTAAAATTTATTTAATGGAATGTGACCAGAACACAGTCTAAGACCAATTAATAACAGTGACTTTGGTAGACTACCTTCCTCAAACCAGGGCTTTCATGGAGGATGCAATTGGATAGTTTCGTACCATATACACCTTGTCACAGATATCTCATCATAGCTCTTAGCCCATTGATCCATATTTAGGTCCCTTACAAATGGGATAAGTTCTACTATATAATACATAATGGTTCCAATGGCTCGGAAATAGCTTCCCTTGCTAGTCTGTCTGCTATCTCGTTTCCTAGAAGTCTGATATGTGTTGGTATCCATTGAACTATTATGTCAATATTATTGGACATTATTTTAATGCCTTATGTGCTATTGGTATGCCTCAACTTCCAAAGACATATCAAACCAAGTGTTGAAGTGCACTTTTAGAGTTAGTGAGAAAAACGGTATTGTTTGCATCCTAACAGAACTGACAGAAGCTAATGGTTCCAAATGGCAAGTAACTACGCTCGCATTATACATGCTTCATAACACAATTTAAGTTTCAATGAGACATTTAGTTGAAGGTGCCGCGCCAACACCATTGATGTCCTTGGAACCATCAGTACAAATCCTATAGCAGCCACTGCATTCAATAGTAAAAAAAATATTATAATATACACAATCATTTAAATTAACAGTTTACATTGTTTCCTGGGGAGCGTTAGGTTGGGTATCCTGTCTTGTATGCAATTATTTACATCTATGTACATCTAAATTTCCATATAAAACTGTAAGCATTTGTTATGAATGAGTTATGACCCTCCACGATGAGCATTATTTAACATATAATATCTTAGTATATTCATGTCACTTAACGAGATAGTTATTAAAAACATATAGGTATTTCTATTTACATACCTTTCCACTCAGTGAAAGAGTTCTAAAGAGATTAGAGATTAATATGTGTATGATCATACCAATTCGATTCTCTGATTCTCCCAGAAACTAATTAAAATTAATGACTAAGAGGGTCATTACCTTTGTAACTTCAACTGCAGTAACTGCCTGTGATTCCTTTCTAGTAGGCACTTTAATAGGTCTCTTACTGATTTCTTTATATTGTTTTATGCGTTCCATCAGAAGCTCTTTTTGTTTCAATGTGTTTGCTAAACTTTCACTGATGCCAGGGACTGGAAAATAAGATATTATATTGAAAAACATTACAAATTATCTTTTATAATTGTTTTATCTAATAAAAAACAAATTTGATGAAATAAATTAGTGGTCGTGGCAGCACAGTCAAGGTAGGAATGTACTATTCAGGGTCAATATAGTCCTATAATATAAGAAGTATTAACACTATAAGAAGACAAAGTAGTACTGATAAGAACTCAATGTAGAGTCAACACTTCTTGAGTAGAGAACATAATTAATTATAAAGGTGTTTTTCTCAAATAAGTAATAATTTAACAGGTATTTTAAATCTCACAGATCAGGTTAAATTAAGTAGTTATCTAAAAGTTTTATTACCAAAGAATATTCAGACATGAATGAGGGGCTTGGTGTGAGTGGAGGAAACAAAAAGTATTGACCATCATAGTGACCCATGGTATGAAATAATTGTGTATGTAAAAACAACTCACTGTTCAAAGCCTCCTGGACAGACATGGTGGTTGAGGTGTCTGTAGCAACAGAGTACCCCGTCCTCTCACTCATGGTGGATGTGATCTCCGATGCAGTATCACCCACATCATCTTCCTCTGAAATATTTATTTACATTATATTCCATTATAATTATGTCACAATGATTAAAAAGCTTATAGTTACTACTATAGAAGAGTCCCAGCTACTTATGATTATAGTTGAAAATCGTTTATGGCATTCATGTTGTTATCTTTTTGAGGTGTTACAATGAAAATAAGTAAAAATTGTATTACTAGTGGTTATTAATCATTAGTATAAAAGTTTTATGAAGTCTTAGGCCAATGTAGGTAATTTCTGTAAATTGAATAGAATCTTAGAGTTAATATCAATGATAATACATATGATAAGAAAATTGCTGTAAAATTGTTCACCGAATGGCTTTCCCAACAACTCGGCAGTTGCTTTCCGATGTTCCTTGATGCGCTTCGACACCAGTGCTGCATTCTCGAGGCATTTCTGAGCTCTTTCGAACTTGATTTGCCTCTCGGAAGACAACGATACACGCGAATGAGCCTAAAACAGTCCATATGTCATTGTTACAATGTTTACTTTGGATGTGAATTGACAATCATTCAGTGAATAATGTCCTTGAATTTTAAAGTAAATTTCAACACGTTTACCTTGCCAGTTTTTACACTCCCAGCCACACTAGACACTTCTCCTGATGATACTGCTAAATTAGGGTCTGACACCTCGGATTTTTCCCTTGTAGAGGGATTATCGACGTTTTTATTATCCGACATGGTTTGCTACACTGTGCGGACATTAATAATAGAAATATGGTATACGTTTATACTATTTAATAGTTAGACTATAATCTAAATGTGAAAGATGAAAAATTAAATGGAATTAAAATGATGTTATTGAAGATATTCCACAAAAAACCAAAATATTTTGCCACCACCACTTGGCACCTGCCATTCCAATTTTTTTAATAATCCACGTCAGCAGTGTTACTAACTTTATTGGATATTTCATCATAGTAGATGATAATGACATCTAAACTATATTACGATTATCGTTCCAAGATCATTTTAATTTAGCTAAAATAAAACAGTCACGATATGACACTATATCGTTAAGTCAACATTATAAGATCTAAATAAGTTAAATAATATACTATTTTACTTTGTTTGCTCATTTGATTGTAGCTCTATAGTTGGGACTATAAAGTATACTCTATGTACCATTCTAATGTTAAAAATTGCTACTCTATAGAACTTGAAACATTTAATGTTGCCATATCACATATACTGCATTACGATTTGCATAGAAAATAACGTTTTAGATTTCCATAAATATCAACAGATTTATAATTATGAGCTAAAAATTGCACAGAAAAAATTAAACATTATCACCATTAGAAGAACAAGTGGTTCTAAGTATATGTAAAGCATTTGCTTTATTTGGTGGATCTGAAAGTATTAATATAGTAACATGAAAAACTGTATGTCACTGTCAAAAAGCTGTCGGTCGATCACTGGTTTTGGATCATCTTAATTTTTTTAATTTGACAAATAAAAATTATAGTAAAATTACTGAATTTAATCAGTGAATTGACTGAAATATCAATTGTATGTTGGCTTTAACAAAATAATTAAATGGCGTCATCTCGTATTCCGGTAATAACGACACTTATAGGGTTACAGTGGTTTTCAATACATTTAATCATGCATTGGTTATGTACTAATTCCTTGCCACGACCTTAACGTTGATTTTCAGGGTACTGCGCGTCAGTTATCGAAAACTTTTAAGCATAGAAGCAGGTTTGAGGTTGGCATCGCTGCCGAGCTACCCGCCGCTTACAAGAAGTTCTGGCGAGAATGGAAAGTACTAAAGCCTGCCGCAGTACATTTCGTTTCCCAAGAAGGCAGGTGGAGACGTGATGAACTCACGGGCGAAACGCTACCTATACAAAACATCTCATTGCCCCTCAAACATCCTTCTGAAATTCACGAAGGCATTTGGGGTGGGGAAGCAGTTGTAAAAGGTGATATCAAATTAATTTTTGTTTACATAACACTTGCGCAGTTGTTTACGTCAGTTTATTTGGCTACATTGTGGATTGCCTTGTTTGTCAACTTGTGTAATATGTACACTTTAAGATGGACAAAGAAGTCATTGTTTATAGGTCAATTAATAATAGCTTGATATTTGTAGGTTTCCAAAAACGTGATCCAATGAGACGCAGAGTCCCACACTACTGGGTGCCAGTGCTCAAGAGGACTGTAGTAAAGTCAGAGGTGCTTAACACCCACCTTTCAGTCACTGTTACTGACCGAACAATTAGATTAATCAATGACCACTATGGATTTGACCACTACCTACTCAAGACTCCTGCTTGTGACCTGGTGTCAATGTTGGCACTGAAGTTAAAGAAACAAATTTTGATTGAATTGATGAATGGATGCCAGAGACTCTCTTATGACCCAATCAAGCAGAAGCAGATTTATGAAGAATACAAAACCTATTTGTCATCTGTAAGTTCAACTATATTTAACCAATCTAATAAATTACAGTATGTTATTCATTCCATCAGTTAAATATAAGTCTAGAAAACTTTTACCAACTCAGTTGCATGTTATCTTTTTAAAATTCAATGACATCTAAAATATTAATGTACCACCATTTAATGGCAGTTAACTTATTCTATAATTATGCAAATATCTTTTTTTGCAGTACACTCCCGAGGAGATTGAATGGTATGGCTTGACTTGGTATGAAGCACTGTCAAAGATAGCCAAACAGAAGGAAGCGGCTAACAGACCTGTCCCACTAAAGAATGTGTACAGGAAAAATCTTGTGGATAAGCTAAAAGCTGCTGGAATTGAAGAGACTAAGAACTCTCCTGATGATATATCGTAAGTTCACACTACAGTAAAAATTAATGTTAATACTTTATTGTGAACAATTTCATAAGTACTAGCTAAATTTATTTACTCACCATTACTACATAAACTATGGTGTTATATTTCCTAATTTGGTCAAGCTTGTTATAGAATATACTGAAGTTTTTGCAATACCGTCTCCGGTGTCCTCACTAGGTTAGGTAGAAATGATATAATTTTTATTTTCCAGCAACACAACATCATGGCTTTCAAAGATGAACCCGTTCGGCAAGAAGGACGAAGCTTAGTAGGAGCATAGGAAATTTTATCGTCGAATAGTGCGCGGAACGCCGCCGTAGGTAGTCTCTTGCGTTCCGGGCGGTCTTCGTTGAACCCCTAGCCGAATGTAAATAAAACGCCACTGGTGCAGTGTAAAATAAAAGTGTTCATTCTATATTGTAGTTTATTTGGAGAACATTCTAATAGAGTCAAGGTATTAACGCCACAAACGAGAAACGGCGCGTCGGGGTGGCTAGGTGATGGCGCACTCGAGCGGCGCGTCGTGCGGCAGGCGCTCCAGCAGCAGCGCGGCCGCGGCCCGCGCCAAGTGCGTCATGGTGCCGAAGGAGCCGCTGGGCGCAGAGTCGTACAGGTGCTGGCACACGCCGGCCGCGCCGCCGCACAGCAGCGCCGCCCCCGCCCCCGCCTCCGCCTTGGCGCAGCACAGCGTGGCGTCGCCGCCCACGCGCCGCTGCTCGTCCAGGAACAGCTGGTTGGCCTTGTGCACCAGGTGCTCGACCGTGATGGCGCCGCCCAGGTGCCCCACGGCCTTGCACTCCACCACCAGCGTGAGCACCATGAGCGCCTCCACCACCAGCTGGCGGTACTCCGGCTGCGGGATCGAGTTCAGCACGGTCTCCACGGCCAGCGCGAACTTCAGCTCGCCCGACGTCATCTCCTGGGTCAGGTTCGGTTGGAGGATTTTGCCTTGTATTATCAGGCCTTGGCACTGCAAGGAGCGATGTCTTATTAAATATACATTGAAATTAAAAGATCCTGTACTAGGTAGGAAGTGGAATATGTATGATGAGAACGTATAATTAAATCAAAACCATTTTTTTTGGGTAGGAGTAATCCCATGCAATGATGAATTAAGGAAAGTGAATAACACACTCTATAACAGTACTCTATTCGTGTAATGCTTAAAAGTAAGAGGCCACCACTTCGTTTGGGACCATTGACCACGATTCTCGAGTGAAATAGCGAGCTTTAAGGGGTCGCGGATATACCTTCTCGAGCACGGCCCAGACGCGCGGGTAGAAGTCCCGGGGCACGCGATTGAGCGCGCCGTCCAGGCGCCGCCGCCGCAACCACTGCCCCTGGCGGTCGGCCTCGCCCAGTGGCGCTGTCACACAACCCAGGCATACAATACTTTCTATTTTTAAAGGATCAGGGACGGTTGACCTGCGAAATACTCAAATGACCCGACGAAAATTTCCCCTTGCATAATCTTAGACTGATTTTCATAAAGCGAACTTTGATTTCGTCTAAGTAAAGTTGACGAGGCAAACAAGTTTTCGTATTTACAAAACGACGAAGTTGCAAAGTAAACTCGGAAGATTAATTTCGTTTCTTGCTTAAACGTGGGCAAAGTTCATGTTGTAAATACTCCACGGTATGGCGAGGTTGCTGGTTCCAATCCAGCCGAATCGAAGAGTTTTCTTTGTGATCACTTCAGGTCTGTGTTAAAGTTACTCCACCTGGTTTTTATTTAATTAATTACAGTTAAAACAAAAGTGAATAGCTTCGATTTCTTCACAGGTGTCATGGTCCATTATATTTATTTATTTATTTTTTTTTAATTTATTGATTTTTTGATTTTTGATTTATTTATTTGGCGTTGCAGTCAAAGTCAAAGTCAAAGATTATTTATTCCATAGGTAAAATAAATTTACACTTGAAAACGTCACATTTAAGCTACTGCTCGTTCACTACGCTGACCTCCCTGAGAAGAACGAGCAAGAAACTCTAGGGATTGCTCTTTTCAAATAAACTTAAATGCTATGGAATACACTTTGAATCAAATTTGTGTGGATTCTGGAGCCGTGTCGTCTTTCCATACATCTTTATCTAACACGTAGTCTTCAATTTTGTAATATGATTTTTCGATCAAAATATTTTTAATGTAGTTTTTAAACTTAGGAAATGATAAACTTAATATATGCTCCGGAATCTTATTGTAAAAACGTATACAGTTCCCCATAAAAGAGTTGTTTACCTTGGTTAAACGAAATCGTGGTATCATGAGTTTGGACTTAGCTCTAAGGTTAATATTATGGATATCTTCTTTCTTATTGAAATTATGTATATTTTTACGGGCATATAAAATATTTGAGTAAATGTACTGCGATGCCACAGTCATGATACCAGTCTCCTTAAACTTTTCTCTGAGAGATACCCGAGAGCCTAGCAGCTACAATTAGCTGAATATTATTATCCTTTTCAAGACAAGAGTATTTACTTGCATCGTCAGTTTCCATCAGGTGAGATGGAAGTCAAATATGCACTTGTTTATTAAAAAAAAAAAAACAGTATGTAGCTACCACAATATAGACTAAGTAACATATAAACAATTATTTTCCTATAACCTACAATAGCGTAACTTGTATCTTAAAAAAAACATAAAGTATCAAGTTAATATTAAGTAATTTCACATTCATGTGATGACTACAACAATACTTCCTTCTCAATACGAAGTCTAGCTATTATTAATCTCTTCAACTACATTTCTATTTTCTTTCCCACTGTACATAAAGCACTACAGACTCCACGCAGGGGAACAATTCTTCTCGCGCCTCACGATCGAGGTAACAACAATATTCTCAGATAAATAATGAAGTCAGCCTGTTAGTTACCTGTATCGATATTGCCTTGAAGTGATTGTCCTTCCAGCATAATCTGGGACTTCTTGCCATATCGAGTGGACTTGTTGCTTACTATTGAGAAGTTTCCGCGACCTACTGAAAAATCCAGTACATAATAAACAGATACAGATAAGTACTGATATACATAGGTATGGGTTTTTGTTAGTAAAGAAATGGGTATTGACTAACCTATCGAAATGGATCTATTCTGTAAACCATTACATATAGGGTCAAGAACGCGTCAAGCTTAACACTAAAGATTTCAATTCAATGGTGATAAGAAAAATCAAGAATCAAAAGTGTCACCATTCTGGACGAACTATTGACTGAAAGAGGTTCATAAAATTCAAATCACTGGACAGGGCAGCATTATTTTTGACATAACGACAAAATAAGGGTAATAACGTCAGGGTAGCATTCAGAAAATTGCATTTTGCTATATATAGACGTAGGAAAGGACAATGCATGTTGCTCTCCATTATAATTTAGGAAGCTAAAAGTAAATCAAGGCAAATCCACATTCATGTCCTTCTAGAATAGCGGCTTATCTCAAAAACACTTACAGTTAATCAAGTAGTTTGAAAAATCAGGCGTATCTGTTACGCCAAGGCAATGAGGCTTATACCGGCCCTGTATCATCACGCGATTATTTTCATTAATGGGAAAGTCTGTCCTATTCAGAACCAAAAATGTATTCTGAACGCAGCGTGGAATAAGCCAAAAACTAATTTAGTTCAGTCACTATTCTAGACAAACAGTGACATACAAAACGAAATTGTAAATTGACTATTGTTGCCACTCGCCTTTACTCTTATCGAGTTTCTCCTTTACTATACACAGAGAATTCGCTGCAAAAGAAACATTGTGTTAGAGCCATATCACACGGGCGACGTTCGCATCCGGGTGAGGTATAGTTGCGATATCTGACGGCATCGTCCAACCCCGCACAGGTAGAACGAACGGAAGGGGCGCACTCACCACTGTTGATGGCGAACTCCTTGCCGCTCAGGATGTGGTAGAGGAGGTTCTTCATCTCGAAAGGCGACAGGTTGAGCAAATGCTCCGAGGCCTCCTCGCCGTCGCACGACAGCGTGCGCGACAGCTCCGTCGCCATGACCTTCCACCGCAGACGAACCACGTGTAAGCAATCACTAACAACTCGGTGGACGGCTATGCTTGCCTCTCGGCTAGGGTGGATGCTAGGTTTAAGTCTGTAGCAACTTTTGTCGTCATATTAAAAATAAAATAATGACGCAAAATGTCTTATCTACAATATTGAAAGTAATTTCCTCCGTGTCGCGTAGCCGTGGGGCACCCTGTATTTATTATTCAAATATTTTCCAGGGGTAAAGTTTGTAATGTTTACGGTTTATTTTTAATTTTGCTATGAACTTTGTTTCGATGAAGTAATTTTGTTACTAGTAACCAAGTGTAAGGGGAACTGAGCAATATATTTCTAGTCCACAGTTAAAAGAGTCGGTACACATTACAATGCAACAATTTATGGCAATCGTAACATTCCATTTTGCGTAACTAAGGTATAGTTGACCGTGGCCGAGTGAATCACCTGGATGATAAGCCCGACCCTCAGGCGCAGCATTTCCAGGAACAGCTGCGGCTCCGTCCGGATGAACATAGCCAAGTACACCAACAGCTCCTGAGTCAACATGGCGGTACTCTCATCGTCTCCATACGCCTGTTGACAAATAATATTAACAACAACTTATTATATTTTGTAGTCGCTAATGCGCCACTCAAAGGCCAATGTAGTATATGATGAAATTATATTATGTTAAATTCATTCATTAAATTCATCCTATGTTTCTCTGCTACCCACGGGTCACCTCTACAGAGAAGGTTTAGTTTATTACTACATTTATTACTTTCGCACGAATGCCAAAATAAAACGCAATTTTGAGTTAGTTCGAAATGTAAAACAGTTACCTACGTCCTCAATCTTATTTTATTAAGTAATATTGTTGTAACCAATTAATCGCCAAATTTCACTGAGTCAATTCAATTTCACTTAAAAAAATATTTACTTTTTGATTTTGATTTTGACAGAGATGTTACATTGACAATATGATTGAAAATCATATATTACACATACAGGTGAACCTAGCTCAACTGATGATTTTGGCTCATCTTTCGAAGAAAGTGAATAAATATTAAAACTATAAGTGTTTGTTTTAGCTTTGCTTCAGGATTTTTTAACTTGTTTGTCATTGTGATCATTTAAAATACTTATTATTAAACTCTAACAGCATTACTTATGTATACTATTTAATTTTAAACTGCCTCTGTGACCGAACGGTAACCATGCCGCGCATGACTGCCACGCAGACGTCCTGGGTTCGATTCCCGGGCCGGGAGAAATATTTGTATGGCCTACATTTATTTCTTTCGTGAATTTGGGGGTAATTTGTCGTTGTCCATGTGTGTGTCCATGGCACCCGCGACGCAGGGTTTCCCTAGTGCGGGGCTATGAGTATGTGCGCGTTATTATTATTACTATTATTAAATAACACTAAACAATGTTTAAAAAAATCTAAACTATAAACATTGATTAGTTCTAAACGATTGATTAATTTGCCATATGTTATTTGCTATTTAAGAATAGCTGTCATAAATATATGTTAAGTGTTCTATGTAGAACTGAAAACCAATGATCCAAAAAAATAAATTAAACGATCACAAGACTCATAAATAATAATAAAAAAATAAAATTTCGAATCGATTTCTCGTGGGAATCGTTTAATGCGGTTACCGATATGTTTAGTTCACATCCCTATTAACGTTACGATGACAAGTGTCAAAATGTGCCTCTTGATGACTACAGTGCCTACAAAAAGTGTGGACGGCGACTAGAGTCATCTCGTATACAGGTGTTATCGTTAAGTGTGCCCAGGCAGTTATTCCATAACTATAAAAGATATCAAAAAGCTTTAAATTGATATCGAAAGTACGTTACCGAATGAGTTTTATCGTTAAGAAGTGTCGATTTACTCATTAGGTAACGTACTTTCCATATTACTTTAAACCTTTTTGATATCTCTTATATTTATGGAATAATCGCCTGGGCACACTTAACGATTACACCCTGTGTAAAGTTTCAAGCGTGATGTATAAAAACCATATAAAACCATTCTGTTCATCGTTAAAATAATACGTACTTTCGGGTCGTAGTATATCAGACTGTTTTACCTTTTTGTTTTCGTTCCCGTGTTTGTCACGACGCAACGACTGCATGAAAAAAATGTGTCTTTTAAGGGAACCATTCATACAGAGCGATCGATTCGATGACTCACAAAACCGGCCAAGTCCGGGGGAAGGGCGAGAACCGTACCAGGTGGATGAGCTGGCGCAGCTCGTTCTCGGGCAGCGGCGCCGTGATGGTGTGCTCGTTGGAGGGCGGCATGCCCACCGTGATCTGCTTCTGGCGCACCAGCAGGTCCGTGACGGCCTTGGCCAGGTCCTCGACGCGCTTGCCCAGCATGCCCGCCGTGTGCCGCACCAGGCCCCACAGCTTCTGCGCGCACGCCTTCTCGTACAGCGCCTTGAGCAGCTCCCGCACCGTCACCGCGCGCCCGTTGTCCAGCATGCCTGCGCAGGCGCGCGCGTCACGGCCCGCCCGGCGGAGGGGCCGGACGGGTCCGGACGGGCAACCGCCACCCACCCGTGTTGAAGTCCAGGCCGTGCGCGTCCACCAGGTACTGCAGGATGTCGCCCTGCTCGTCCAGGCTCTCGGTCTCGCGCAGCGCGGCCAGCAGCTCGTCCGTCTCCTGCTCGGCGTACACGCTGGCCGACTCCGAGGCCACGCGCGCGCGCGGCGCCTTGGCCGCCCCTGGAGAGTTGCCCTCCTTGGGCGGCGACGGCGTCTGCTCCCTGGTCACCTCGATGGTCGGCGTGCCCGCGCCGAGACTCGTCGTCGACGTGCCCCTGCGCCCGAGCGTTCAAATTGCACCGATGCCACGGAAAAGATGGTGTTATAAAAGAAAACCACACTCCTTAGTTACAAAAAAGCAGACGAAGCGAACGCGTTAGAGTACGTCGCGTCGTTGTCCAGGGGTCGGACGTTGTGGGAGGTGAATTACGCAACAGGCAGGAGTTTTGATGATATATCCGTTCAACGTACGGAACAATAAATACAGGAGAAGTGCTTAGTGTGCGTGTCACGCGTGCCGAAAGTTCCATTTGTACGTTATAGTCGTGTCAATTATCTCGCGCAAAACCTCGAATACTGTAACAACTTGTCACGTTATCTATGAAGAATGGTGGTGTTTGATATCAGTGTCAAGTCTTATTTTATTCAATGTTAATAAATTTTAAATTTTCTGTTAACCATTATAATTTTTTGTAACAACGAACTAAAGCATACCCGTTACTGCTGCAATATGGTCGTTTCTTTTTTGGAGAACTAAGTAAACATCTCGAATTCGTCGTCGTTCAGCTATTGACCGCCAGGCTACAGTACAACATCGATTGAAACTTCAATAAAAAATCAAAACGTCGACTGCAACAGTACGTACTGAACTTTCAGCAGTATGCGAACAGGGTAAAGTTTAATTTATATTCATAGTCCACACTTTGTTATTTCTTTTTAAATTAGAAACTCGACCAATCATTATCGAGGTTTTCTAGTGGTTCTGATAGTAATCGAAGTTTATACACTTCAATTATTTTTTTCTCCGTGGTTGAACGCCAATACAAAAACGTATCAAGGTTTATACATTACCCGTACACCACTTCACTGGAAAAAGAAACAATTTGTTATAATAATCGTCCACCTACGGTCAAGACCAAAGCGAACACGACGCTTTCGAAAAAATTTGAAAACGACACTCCTTCAAGTTCTGTGACTGATTTCAATGTCGGCGTTCTCGGAGGGGAGATCGCGAGTAAAATGTTTTCTGTCAAACATGTTCGGAAATGTTTGCATTCTGTTTGCATTACTTTCAAAAAATGAACACGGAAAGTTTGTCATTTAAGGACCGTGCGACTTGTTCCCGGCCAAGGCCAGCAAAGTAAGTACGAAAATCCATTACTGTTTATTTTTTTCCATCCTCTAAGATTACTGTCCACTTCTGTACTTTTAAATCTAATACCTACTAATAATGAGAGATTCGCTTTAGGCCTTTTGGAGGGAAAACTGTCGTTTTTATTTTGGTTTTCAATTATTTTGTGGAATCTAGTTTAAAGTGGAATAGTATAGAGCTATTGTGCCTTAATCGAAGATTAAAACGCGAAATTATACGAATATCGAACTAAAATACCCGTATCTGCCCGTTCTAAGGAATCCCGAGTCAATCCAAGCACGCCGTCTCAAATTGCCTATCCTCTTTGTGGCAGCCACATTTACAGAAACATAATTAAACGAAGACACGGCTCAAAGGACTGGTATCCTAGCCAAAATTATTAATAAAAGAAATACTAATAATGAACTACGTTAACAAGCAAAAGAAAAATTCATACAGCCCACTGCCCACTGTTCAAAATTGCGAGAATTAACTGCTTAATTTTTTTTTAAAACAAAAGGCGGTAAAATAAAACTAAAGACTTTGGTATTCTTTTCTGCATTTTCAGTTTTTTTTTGTTTTCGTCGAAAAAATAGTTTTAGTGAGAAAACCGATAACGGAAATAATAGTAATTGATTGTGCTCCGCCTAAATTAAAACAAGAGGTAATAGCCATGGAAAACTTGTTGCTGGTTATGAGCAAAGTAAGATACATGAAAACTCATGTTACTAATATGTGCCTGGAAAAATAACTACATATTCTTTTAGCAAATTGTCCGGGGTTTATACCTTTTTATTATATATATTCCTCTCTTTTATCTTCTAGTATTTCCTTAAATTGTTTGAAAAAAGCATACACAAGACTTATCGCTTGACTCGTATTAATACAAGGCCTCCCTGGCGCTCGTCCTTGTAACTCATACTCGCCCAGCAATCCCTTACCTCCCGGCCTCTGCAATAATGCACTATATCGGGGACTCACTTGGCCAAAAACTTCTTCCTGGCGTCCTCGGGCGACGGGCTCCGACCGGACGCGCGGTCCACTTCGAGCCACGACGGCTTCCTCTCCAGCTTGCCGGGGCCCGCGTACTCTCCCTCCATGCCCAGCGTTTCGGCTGCAAGAGCGACATCGAGTAGCGGCGGCGGGCGGGGAGGCGGCGGGGCGGGGCGGGCACTCACAGTCCACGTTGATGGAGCGCGTCTTGCGGATGGCGCCGCGCACCGACATGCGGCGGCGCAGCGCGCGCGCGCGGTCGCCGCCGCCGGCCGCCGGCCGCGCCAGGCAGCTGGCCTTGCTGCTCAGCGACTTCAGCAGGTGCTCCTCCAGGTAGCTCTGCACGCGCGGGTTCAGCTCTGCAAGGCGCGGGGGTCAGGTGTGTGCGCTCGGGCCGCCCGCCGGGCCCGCCCAGCGCACTCACTGTCGGGGTAGCCGTCCTCCTGGCTGCCGAGGAAGCTCAGGTTCGTGATGGCCGACGTGCTCAGGAAGTCGCCGAGGTTCCCGAGGGTGACTCTGGTGCCGTTTATGTAGCCGGACTTCAGTTTCTTCATGGTCGTTATCATTGCCATCGGAATTCTGCCCTGGTCTAAAAGAACGCACGCGGCGGTGAAACGGTCGAAATTATCTTTTAAAATTATTCGTGCAGAAGCTTCCAAGCGAAGGGCACATTCAATATTTATGTCGCGAGTCGGGAATCGGAACGATCGAACGTGGGTCGCTTTGATGTAGGATGCGATTCGTGAATAGAGTGCGGCGTAGTACACTTATGGAAACGTGCCGCCGCCGACACCCTGGTGACTAAAATTTTGATTAGCATCAGCGTGCGTAATTTAATTGCTTTTCTATTGAATGTCACTGGTTCAACACTCTCCGTTCTGCGCGTGCAACCACGTTAACTTTAAAAGATTTACTACAGAACGTAAGTATTTATACACAAGAAAGAACTGCGGGGAAGCACGCGGAAGACCCGTTTGTACGGAGAGCATAAAGTACCAGGAGGTGCCACGAAGCAAAGCCAACGCGCCCGCATACAATTTACCTAACAAATACTGCGTCGCGAGAAGGGTGATGGTCGGCCGGCCGAGCATCTGCTTCCAGCTCATGCCGAGGAACGCCACGTTGGCCATGAATGTGCTGGCCAGCAGCGCCGGGTCGCGAGACATGTAGTACTCCTCGTAGTCAAAATTCTACGAGACATTCACACACGGTCGTATCAAGTGATTTGAGAATAAGAACATCAATACACTTGCCTTCCGATACCTATTGGGCTGTCTACGGCTTTTCCTTAAATGTATGAAGAATATTAAATGTATGACTAAATAATTCATGGATAACATTTTAGTTCATCAATACAGTATAAAATAAAACCATACATTCCAATAAAACATACATAGATACATAGTATATAAGTATTTACTACAGCATGTGACCATTTAGAAGGTCAAATCTAGAATCACACAACAGTTGCTTCTTGTATCTGCTGCCATAATGTTATGATAACGCAAAATAAACGAAAGGGTAAGGCACGCAAGCACAAATCAAGCTCAGGGGTAAAACAAAAAATACCTAAATACATCTGATTCAAGCTCAAGACAACAAGCGGCCGTCCCAGAAGGTTTTGCCACGATGATTTCAAGAAATTTATCTCGGCCTTCAGAATGTCGACCATCAGTTCATAGTCGGAAGCAATGTAGAAACGCTTCATGTCAGAAAACTAATAAAATAAAAAAAAATATATTGCACTTGAAAGACTAATGGTACTAAAAACAAATGAAAAAGCGCAGCCCACCTGCGGAGTGAATGCGAAAATGCGATCATTCAATGAGTATAGTTTACTCGTACTGAGAATTCCGACATCACGCGATTTTCTCCCTGAAAGGCCCAACTTCTTGTTTCTACCTACAAAGAAATAAAAATACTCAAGAGTTTCAGTATATTCTAATCACGACGTCATAGTACGCAAAGACAACCTTACCCAAATATGTATACAGATAACTCAAAACTCTAGCAGGCTGGACCTCGATTGGTGCGACTTCAGCAATAGTTTGAGCATGCAAGTCATATTCCAACAACTTGTCCCTGATTTCATTGTCTTCTGCTAGTATAACAATCTGAACCACTACGTCAGGTTTCTTCTCTGAGCATAGTCTTCTGTTGAGAGGATCTAGTTCACCAACTGCCAGGAAACCCTGTAATAATTTTTACCATAAGTTATTATTATTCCTATTACAAAGTGGTAAAAGATATAAGTGATTTGGTAATTTTACCTCTTGCAACAACTTCCCAAGTATGTATAAAGATTGTGCCCATATAAAAGGACATCTGCCTAGGGGTATCCTGTCTTGACTTCCTGGTTCATGCTGCTCTAAATCAGCTTTATCTGCGGGCACTGCATACAACTCTGGGACCAACTTTATCCCATCATCATTCCTCAACATGATCTTTTCTAACCGTTGCGTATAGTCACTCACATTTGCCTTATCTCCTTGGAAACAGTAATCCAGTATTAAATAGCAGAAAAACAGAGGCCATTCACACTCTATGTTCTCAAACATTCTCAACTCCCATGGCTCATAATACAGCCTATTAGGATCCTCTCTTGGATTCTTGTGGCCATCTCTCAGAAATCTCTTACATCCATACTTCCCTTGCAATTTTATAACAATAGCATCCCTAGTTTTAGCAATCAACTGTGGATCATCCACAGCAAATGCTGGGTAGCTTATAATAGACAAAAGGCCTGAATCTAGCTCTTTACTGTTAGATTCTCTAGGTAGCATTGATTGCAGCACAGCTTGGCATTTTTGAGCCTCATCAGCTAACACGTGGATGACACTCGAAGGTCCTCCACGGGCCCCAAACAGGTCTAGCTCATTCATAGCTTCAAGAGCTGCTTTGGCCATGCCAATTGAACTGGCATTAAGCTCTGGCAAGCCATGGTTGGTTTTGTCTCCTCTTTCCCAAATGCCATAATCAGGAGTGCAATAAGCAGACTCAATGTAGAATATCAGGTTTTGAATAAAAGCAACCTCATCCAGAGAGAAAACAATCTGAAGTCCTGAAGCAGTCATTTGTGCGAGAATTAGGAGGTATAGTGAAATGGAATCAATTTGCAAATGACCCCACTCATCGTCTTTTACAACAGTCCTGCCTGTTGCTGAAGAATATTTGGCATGAAGAGCATCTAATGGGTGTTGAGTGCTTTTGAATTTTTCAACCTTTTCTTTCTGTTGCATCATGGCCATCAAAAGACCTACAAAAGTAAATGTAACATTAAACCATTGGTCAAAGGTTTTATTACTTTCTTATCTTATATTCCAACAGTCTATTAAAAGTAACACATATTCAAGGAAAGAGACAATGGAACGAAACATATACATTAATAACCTTGAGAAGAAGAATGCAGGGTTTAAAGCATAACATTACCTCGCATGAGTTTCACGCAACTCTGTTCTAATTCGTATGTTTTAGCGCGGTCTTCATCTTGGTCCGCGATTTTCTTAAAGGCCATGGACAGTCCCCATACTGCCAAGATGCAGTATAAGTTGTCCCTGATCCATGCGTGGTCGTTGTGAGGACTAGCTGGAAACAAACCCGTGACTGGCTGCTGATGGTCCAATATTAATTTGTGAACTACGCGTTGGTAGTAGTCGAGGCGCACCCCGGAATTACTTCGGGTCCGCATGTTGACCGGCTGGATTTAATCGAAATCAAATATTTATTATCTAACTCATATTTAATTATTTTAGATTATTCCGCTTCTTTTTACACGAGAATTTGTTAATAGTCTATTTTTATTTGTGTCATTTGAAAGTCGGATCTGTCAAACATTGATTGACAAGTAGATGTATGTGTGTGCATAGGTTTTTTGTTTTCCTTCGTTCCGCATGGAACAAGCGAAGGTCAGAGACCATACTGCCTAGTCATTAGGTTCTCTTTTCCTTCAATTTAAAATATTTCGATTGAAGTCTTCATAGTTGCATGTTGTTGGTTTTTATTTTTTGTTATTGAGTGAGTATTAGATAGAGCCATCAGCTTAAACAGGCAACACATAATTAAGAAACTCAAAACGCATTAATACGTAATCACGGTTTAGGTTAGGTTTAGGTAATTAGTATGAGAACATTGAAATGGCTGAGAACACCGAATGTGAGAATAGCCGACCTACACTATATTTATATCTCTGGATTTTGCCTAAAATCTCCACACGTTCACGGTGCGAATCGCGGCAAGAACTCCCACAGTTCCACATTTTCCAGGTGGATGAAGATGGACGCCGAAGTTGCTGTTGCTGCCGCGGGACTGCTTTGCGCTTTGGCGATTTACAATTATGCTTTTATAAAGAAAAAAGTTATTAAAAATAAATGCTAGAACAAACAAAAAATGTCAGTTCTAGTTCATTTTGTCCAATCCACGGCCATTTTAATCACGTTCAAATCGTCAACAATAAAAACAAACACCATTGTCTGCGGCACTTACATAACGGTAACTAAGCCGCACGCGAATGTGGAGCCTTGTCGCGTTCACGCCAAATTCGCGCTTCGTGAACTCTTTATCGCGTGACAAAATACCGACAACAATCTTTTAACAAGCCGCGAAGCCGCAGAATTATGCGAATGGGATCCAACATTACTCACAAAGACTTAGGCTTCGCGGGTAGTTTGCTGCATCACGCGTGAGTCGCGCGCGAATGTGGAGAGGCCATAAAAACTAAAATCATCATCATCATCATTTCTGCTAAAAGACATCCACTGCTGAACCCCCAAGAATGTCGCAACGACCTGTCGTGCGCCAAAAAACTAAAATGTAGATGTCAAACTAGTTTCAGTAATGTGGTACCATTAGCTTCAAGAACTGGAAATACGACCCTAATGGCAAGGACTTGAGTATGATTTCTAGTGCTTTAAGGATCGTATTCTAGAACTGTACTCAATGCTTAAGTCAGGATTTGAGCAGACTTGAGTATGATTTCAAGCACTGGAAATACGATCCTAATGGCAAGGACTTGAGTATGATTTTCAGTGCTCCCTGCAATACTCAAGTCTTGACTTGAGTTTTGCAGTGAGCACTGTCTTGACTTGAATTCCGGCCGGACAATTAACAATTAATCAATTTTCAATCTTTTCAATGTTTTTGATTAACAATTAACAATGAAAACTGACAATTATGATAAATTTATATATGGGGGTGAGTTAGGGCGTTGCTTGTGGGGGCCTGTTGGGGGCCTGCTGGGGGCAGGTTAGGGGGCCGGTTGGGGGCCTGGTTGGGGTCTCCGGTTGGGAACCCCGCTTGGGGGCCCCGGTTAGGAGGCCTGATCGGTGGCTCCGGTTAGGGGCCCGGTTGGGGGGCCCCGGTTGGGGCCACATTGGGGGCCCGGTTGGAGGCCCCGGTTGGGGGCCCGGTTGGGGCCACGGTTGGGGGGCCCGGTTGGGGCCACGGTTGGGGCCCAAGCACAAGCAACGGCCTAACTCACCCCCATATGCCCTATAAATTTATCATAATTGTCAGTTTTAATTGTTAATCAAAAACATTGAAAAGATTGAAAATTGATTAATTGTTAATTGTAGATATTTGCGATTAACGATTGATCAATTGTTAGTTGCGAGAGCCGCAATTAACAATTGATTAATTGTTAATTGCGGTTCTCGCAACTAACAATTGATCAATCGTTAATTGCTGTTTCGCAATTGACAATTAATCAATTGTCAATCTTTAATTGCCAGAACAATTAAATTTTGCCCAACACTGGCTTGGGCGAATATCGGCTACTTAGCATCCATAAATGAGCGAATTAATTTCGCAAAACTCTGACAACACTGAATGTCACGTCACTGTCACTTTTTTAATGAATTGAACGTCATCACATCAGAATAAGAAGTATTTATTTTGAGTTTTTTTATTTGAGAAATTGTTTAGTAATATAGTTTTATGTTTTATTTTAATTTTGTACAAATCGCAATATTTTCGTAAAACATGTTGTTTTATTTGTTCCTGTGCAACATATTGTTCATTTATCCAATCATCGGAGTCAACACGACTTTGTCAACAAACGACAACATCACCTTAAGTGTACCTTCCAAAAGTCTGGAGAAGGTCGAAGCTGGTGCTGATATAACAAAAGCAAATATTTTAAGTGAAGGCGGGCCCATTAAACAAACTACTCAAACGATTACGAACCCCAAAGAAATCCATCCGGCCTTACTGAATTTGGATACAGAACTTGGTAAGGATAAATCAACTGTGCCTTCAAATTCAAAGGTTGTGCCGAGGAAAGGGGTGGTATTCGAAGACAAATCTGCTACAAAGCAGACAACTTCGTCCTCATCACTTCCAACAGTGTCACTGAACACTCCTAATAATAAAACATTAAATAACAGTTCAAGCACAGAACCAAGTATCAATAAGACTCAAGTGATTAACAAAAAGCCTTTAGTATTGTCAGATGAAGCTCTGGCAAATATGCCTGATGTTCGTAAAGATGAACTTAAAATACCAAGGATTCAGTCGTCCAGAACAACTTTGGTAGCTGATCAGATTCAGTCACCAAGAATACAAGTGGCCCCAAATAGCCATCCAGGAATGGTAATGCCTGTAGTGATCACCATACTGGTGGTGCCAATGTTTGCTGTGCTTGGATACATGGCCATGAAAAGGGGACGAGAAGCTTGGAAAAACCGACATTACAAAAGGATGGATTTTCTCTTGGATGGAATGTACAATGATTAAGACTTTTATCATTACTGGGATAGTAATGACTAATCAAAGTTGATATTGACCAATTGAGTTAAATATAGAATCGAGCAATTGTGATAAAAATAAGACTAATTTAAATGTGACACCAAGGGCCATATCACACAAGATGGCAGTTATGATTTGAATAATGTTTTAATGTGACATTCTTTTTCTTGCTCTAAGTTGCTAAATTTTATACTAAATACTGAATGAGTAGTGTTATATTTTATTGTTCTATATATAAATAGGATGTCTGCATAGTGCCCACTGGCAAGTGGGTAGTATAAACAAAAACATCTAACTGCCACATAATAAATATTTTATTGTTTGAAAATTTAATTTAACAAATACAAAGTACTAAGTAATGCCCATGGACAACTTAACTCGTTTAAACTCAACATTGTTTCAAGTTGGAAGATTTTGGTTTTAAAGTTTAAATAGATTTTTTGCAACTATTCACACATATGGCTGTGATTACAACCATCTATTTGTTAATTACTGCAAAATTACCATCAACTTTCATATAGTTATGGTTCATTTATGCCTCTACTACTAACGAAATCACTTTTGGTTAATGTGTGTGTATACTTAGTTCACATCATGGTTATAAGGTATGGTATTGCATAAATGAGTCACAGAATACCTAGTCCATGGCTCGACTGAGCTTGAAGCTATGTCTACAAAATAAAATTTTGTTTAGTGCAAGCCAAAGTGCATTGGAGCAAGTCTGTATAAACTATAATATATAAATTCAAATTGGTACACGAGGAGGCGGGCAAAGCGATATAAAGACTTATTCGGCAATTGTGGCACTTTCAATCGCGATAAACGGTTACAGTAACATGTACAGTGAGTATCGAACAAGCCTGACTGAATAGGCCATTGTTCCATGGACAGTCTGAGCCACTTTAGATATATTTTCGTAACGCGCCAGACTTGCTACTGGGATGTATGTAACCTTTAAGTTACAATAATAGTAATTGCCTAGAAAACAAATCATGTAGCTGAAGCATAATTGTTATACAATATACATGGACATAATTGTTGATATTACTTATGTAAATATGTATGCTCAAGTATAGGTATATAATTGTACAAAATTCAAAGAATATTAAGGTTGCCAGTAAATGTGCCTTACATACTTTTCTATTTTTATACCAGTGTATGATGACTATTGTGAATGAGTTTTAGTCTTCCAGATAATGCTTTAAAATGTCCTGATAACTTTTTAACAGTTAGTGCTCATATAAATCCTATAGGTAATTTATTAATCTACGTTATTTAATACATACACAAAGGTTGAAAGGTTAAAGGACTAAGCAACACTTAGTTTGAAAAAATTGCCTTATTTCAGCGTAGTTAACTATTATGAGATCATTTATATTTAATAAATTAAAATTTAATCAGTGTATCGTAATGTATCCATCTTTTATCCAGGATTTTTGAATACTGTTTTATGGGAGGTGATATTTAAAAATTTGTGTTATAATTTGTAATAATTTTATATTGTTTATGTTTGTTTATATGTAAATTGTTGTTAAAAGTGCGAAATGTGTTATCAAAATTTATAAAACTATTTTGTAATTTATTCATGTTGTACAACAATAAATAAAAATGTCAATGTATTTTGTTTATTTAAATTTATTTATTAGCAATATTCATGTACTTATACATATTTTTTCAAGCCCATATAATCATAGGTATAAGAAAAGTTCAAGACAGTTTAAAATGAAACAAGTAGCAAGTTGCTATCCATATTAGATGTGATTCATGTAATTTGTAGTTTCACAAGTTGAATATTAGTAACATTGAAACAAACATCAATGTTTAAGCTTTAATAACCATTATAGAGTTATTCCCATTTTTCTCCATTATTTTCCCAATCGGCTTCTTCTTCATCCGCTTCTTCTTCATCGGCTTCTTCTTCATCAGCTTCTTCTTCAATGGCTTTTTCAGTATCTGCAATAATTCATTTTTGTTTCTATATAATTAACGAATATCGCTCGAGAGCCTCCCTGAAATTTATACATCTATAATAGAACTATTGCAACCTGTTGTTACACTGCCTTAAAAGATAGGTAGAAAAACTAATCTCTGAACAAAGGCATAAAAATGTAAATTCTTTATTGTCTTCGCCAAGGAAACTTGTACTTATATGTATTTACCACTATGGTTCAAACCATATAGTTAGTTATATATACCTTTGACATAAAATCAGTTTGAGGTAATTCCCTAGTGTTACTCATAATATTTTTTTAAATAACTCAAAAGTTAATCAGTTGTACTATAAGTTTAATCAGTTGAACTAATCAGACACAAATATTCCAATAAGTTCAACTAGGTACATCTTTTCAAAAAGTTGAACCTATTGAACGAAATTGATCCTGTTAGTTCAACATCCAATTATTTAAATAATAGCTCAATGTATAGTTGCTGTTATTGACGCAAATGTCCCAAAAACAAAGGTACACTTATTTCTTCATTTGCATGTCAAGAGTAATACTACCCTTGATTCAAAGAATCCAATATAACAGATATTCCCAAAAATTTAATATGTAAGATGTTGAACTTGTCCCAAAATTAATCTAACCAGCATTAACGGTTTTCTACATAGTGCTGTCGCAGTAAATGCGGCAATGCCATAAACATTTTCCGCTCAATACTTAATACCTACATACTACCATTTACTTGAAAATATTCATTACTAGCTAATTAATTAAAATTACAATGAGGTTACGCTTCCAATATTCTGTTCAATTAAATTGTTCTTCAGAAATAAATATCTACATTTAAATTTACACCCGCGGATCACCAACTGCAAAAAAAACTGCCAATTTCAACATCAACAAACGTAATCCTCTCATGTAAACTTTCGCAGTGTCACCTTCTTTACTATTAATTTGGGCTCGTTAATACCGAGCGCTCTCTTTCTCATTTGCATCTGAACTGTTTTTGTGTAAGTGCTACGGATCGGGTAGCACTTACAGTCAAGAAGTCTTGACTCGTAATATATGCCTAAAATGCATTATATTGCTTCATAATGTGTAGGTATTATAGGTACTTCGTTAATATGAAGTACCTATAATACCATAATAGCATTCGCGGGAATTTCCAGCTGCCTAGGCGAGGACTGACGAATCCGTGGTAAGTAGCGCGAAGGCAGGTGCGAAATACAACAGCTTCAAGGCGCGAGAAAGCTAATGATGCTCGAGCATTCCAGCGATCGCGTGCGCCTTTTCGCGCAGCGAGGCGAAATTGACGCTTCCGTTCCATTTCGATCCGCGGCAATGTAAATTGAGCCTTAGGTGTTATGCTAGATAAATTGGTAAGGCGTTTTATTACAAACAAGAGATCTTATAATATCATAAATACTACACGCTACATCTTCTTCTAGCGTCTGAACTTCTTTCATGTAGTTCGTATTATTTTTATGAGTATCATGTACTAAGAGCACTTCTGACGTATGATCACACATGGCTTTATTATATATACCAAGGGTACGTAATGGATAAATGATATAAGTATTGAAAAATTAAGAAGTTCTTTTATGCTTGGATTGACTAATTTGTTGTATGGGCCCTTCGTCCATAATTATCTCGTGAGATCTGAACGAGTCTGAAACGAAATGAAAATGTTTCAAACCTTTCTCAGCCGCGTTGTCGCCTTCTCCTTGACCTGTAACAAACATTCAATAAACTGAACAATAATAATAATAAATAAATAATTTATTTGGCATCCAAGGCCCACTTGATAGTAAATACAGACAATTTTAATTTATTACTATTATCACCTCACTAGAACATGGATGAAATGACGAAGCATTGGCGATTCGAGCATAGCCGCAAAAGTTTCCAGGATGATGTTAGCCCTTCGGTACATTTAGTCTACTTTCCAGATAGGTCCACTTTCACTATTCGTCTACTTTCCCGATCGGTCCACTAGTTTTTCCCGAATCGTCTATTTCCCATTTCGTGTACTTTCCTGTTTGGTCCACTTTCCCGTTTGGTCTACTTTCCCATTTGGTCTACTTTCCCGATAGGTCTACTTTATGATGCGTCAACTCAGATAATCTCAATACAAAGTACTAAAAAAAAACCGACCTCAAAAGTTTGTGCAATTAAATCTATTAGCCAAGTTTTATTGAAATCGGTTATCGGAAAGTGCGCGAAACCGTGTTCACCCCTAGTTTGCCGCCCTTAAAGGCGGAAAATTTTCTTTAAACTTAAATGGGACCACTACTGAGGTACCCTCTTTCCAACAAAAAAGAATCCTTAAAATCGGTTCACAAATAACCGGAGTTATCGCGTAAAATACATAAAAAAAAAATACAGTCGAATTGAGAACTTCCTCCTTTTTTGAAGTCGGTTAAAAATTAACTGTCTACTTGATTATGTTTTTCAAATCATAATTAACATAAAGCGGCCATCATTATCGAAAATATAAAAAATGTACTCCATGACAATCTACAATTACGTAATTGCAAATTGCATTTGAAAATTTATTAAACTGTTTTTTTTTGTTAAAATTTATATTCTTAAGAGGTGGACCTTACGGAGGTTACGGATCAAAAATCTGTAACTTTTTGTTTTTCGAGATACACCTTTCATTTTTTTTGTACATAGTAGGAATTATGACGGTTGTAAACGCATATACATTTTTATTTAACTATCCGTAGTTGAGAGAAAAAAAAATTGCAAAATCTTAAATCTCTCCCTGGTAAATACTACACAATATTTATTAAAAAAATATATAAAACGCCGAGTTACGATAATTCTTTATTCATAAAATAAATTAATTATGATTATAAATTTTACTTAAAATAACATAAAATAAAAAATAAATAAAAATATGAGACAAAAAAAAACATGAAATCATATTTCTTATTATTTCGGGATATCTGTTTTAGTCTTTAATATCACGGCCTATTATTATTGTCATATAATATCTTTTTCAGAATCAGTGACGAGTTGGTCCACTTTCAATAGATGTAGCGGCTCCACGTCAAGCTTTCCGATTTTTAACATAAGGTTTTCGGTTACTAATAATATACGGATACAAAGTACAAAGTAACGTGAGAATTACATCTTCATTTGCAGCAGATATTGAGTAATTTTCGTAATTTAAATTTTTGAGATTCTTAAGCGTCTTCTGAAAGTTGTCCAATGGGTAACATTGCAAAATGGTTAATTATACCTTCTCTGTGAATCACAATATTCTGTGTACCGAAGATATAATACCAATCATATTTATTTCTTGCGATTTCCAGAGCACATTCCCATATTTTTGAGAATCTATCATTATGCCAGGCGATAAGGCTTGAAGGATTACATAGAGTCGCTTTACCAAATTTCATCTACTCCTGTAATTTCAGCAGAGCAGACTCCATTATGAAAAACCTTCTCGCTGTGTTACCGTCATTAGTATTACCACCTCCTTCTCGTGGTTTATCAATTATTAATCCAAGTTCTTCTCGAAAGCGTCTTTGTACCTTAATTTACTTCTCTTGTTTAATTCGTTTATTTTCGTCACTCCTAGCTGACCGTTTTTGAAACGAAAGGTTGTACGAAATATGCAAAATGTGATAAATCCTGTAACGATAACATTTTTGCTCATATGTTTGTAATTTCAATAGCTGATGCAGGTGGGTAACAGTTCTATTTACTTTTTTGTACTTTGTAATAAGGTGGTAGTAAGAAACAGTTCCGTTCATCCATAATATTCTTCAAATATAAATATTGAGCCCTGGTCAGATTCAATTCAATAAATACACTTAATGTTTCTTGATCGCTCAGTGTTTGGATGTTATTGCAATCGTCCATCAATTGTAGCACTAATATTTTTGTACCTGCATCTACAAACCTAAATACCTCCACTAGTTTTGCTTCATTACTATCTCGTTTGATCGCAGTCCTTTTTTTCATTTTTCTACGGTTGGACATTTGTTATGATTTCTTTCATATCTTTAGAAACCGCAGCTGATTATTATAAAATTTTGATAATGAATACCTACGCTATGAAATAATACAATATTCCAAGCTTCGGGAAGCCTCACTAACAGTCAAAACCTTTGATGAATTTGATAAAGATAGGTTTGTGTCCCCATATTTAATTATGATTTATTTTCTTTACATTACACAACAAATTTGAAAAATATCAACTATTTTTTACATTTATGTTAGATGTGCTTTATAGAAATATATAATTATATAATAACACATAGCTTATCTAACAAAATCAATACGAATTGCGACGTCTGAAAGTTTCAAAATTATACGTCACAACGTGAAGAGTATGGGAAAGGACATTTTGGACGTGTTTTCATTAAATTAACATACCTATCTAACTTAAAAAACCTTCTGTATAATAAAGTATGACATCTAAACTGTCAAATAAAATCAAATGTGTACGAGTATCTCAATTAAGACATTGGTCAAAACCATTTTTGATACGCTGTTGTTCTACTATTTCCCATAGTGCAGTGGATCTATCGGGAAAGTAGACCGATCTGGAAAGAAGACGAAATGGGAAATGGACGAATCGGGAAAAACAAGTGAACCGATCGGAAAAGTAGACGAATAGTGAAAGTGGGCCGATCGGGAAAGTAGACCTAAAGTCACCTACTCCCGGTTGAGCAAACACCGACGATGCGCTATAGTGTCCCGGTAGTCCCAACAGTATCTTGAAACCGTTATTATATAGAACGCGCATGGCGCCGAGTGCCTCTGCGTATAATCAACCCACAGACCACCTGTGTAGAAAATTGACAATACGATGATTGCCAAGGATCGTTCACTACAATGTCTCTTAATTGCATCTCTGCTTCAAACTACCCTCCTTTAATAAGGCGTTCATTGTTCATTCTGTCTTTTTTTTAACCCTTATGTACTAATTGCCATTTCTAAATCGTAGGTATATAAATGAATGAAAATTCAAGACACAACCTGCATTGCCTTTAGATTCTTCACCCTTCATCATATTTAGGATGTGCTGCTTTTCCTTGTTCAGGTGCTTCTTCCCGTTCAGATGCATCGTCATTTGCTCGGTGCATGTCACCGACGTCTGGAAATAGAAAGATTATTTATTTATTTTGTACAACTTACACTTACAGGACTTATAACTAAACATGTAAGTCATAGTCACAAAAAAGGTTGAGTCGATCACCGGCCTAAGATAGGATGCGGAATTTGGACCACAGAGCTTTGGGCGGTGAACACCTCCAAATAAAAATTTTGTGCCGTGGGGCGACGGCTTAAGAATACATTGTCGCCTCCCCATACATGCCCGTGGGGGTCGTAAGAGGCGACCGAGGGCGTCACAAGTGTCCATCTGCTTAGCGCTGTGGTAGGCTTTGTGCCGACTGGATAGCGACCACAGTACATACGGCGGAAAACCCTCCACAGTGAAACGCTTTTGCGAATCGCGTTCAGGGATCAGTTGGTGTACATCCAGTGCACGTGGAGTTTTCGGCGCGGTATCTGGGAGGACTGAGGCGGATATTCGCCATGTCACTTGTTGAGGGATATCTAGTTGACCTGCCGCCCAGGGAGACCCGTAGAAACGGTTGTCCGCTGGCCGCCCGCGGTACAGTACAGGGGCCCAATAGGGACTAACTACCCCTAGAGGCTGCCCCACCATGCCGCGCATAATCTTGGGGTAGGTCGTCGTGCCGGTTAGTGACCGGAATATGGGGTCCCGGCGGCATATCCCGGGGGGGTACGGGGGCCCTTCCGTTCGGCGGGTCAGCCGGCTATCCTTCAAAAGATCAATAGCATGTATTGCAGTTCCCCTCGTTTTTCTTCTTCGGTGCGGTGCCGAAGGCTTCACCTCTTCACACTACCGTCCTTCTTACCCACCATGACAGCGCAACATAAGAATGCAGATCGTTCAGCGGTGCCTAATCCCCCCACCGCGTTTATTATTGAGTTCGCTAACATCCGCGGACTCCACTCCAACCTCAAAGCTGTCCACCATCACCTCGAGACAGCCCGGCCTGCCCTGCTTTTCCTGACGGAGACGCAGATCCGCCGTCCGAATGATATGAGTTACTTGAACTACCCCGGCTACTCGCTTGAGGAAAACTTTCAGGCCAAAGCCGGGGTATGTGTATATATTCGTTCGGATGTGTGCTGTCGCCGTCTGCGCTGCCTGGAGGACCCCTCCTTTTCCACTATGTGGGTGCTCGTAGAATCTAGTTGTTCAGCTAGAGTCTTCGCGTGCTTATATAGATCCCACAGTGGGGATGCGGAGACAACTAGGCTCTTTGACCAACTGAGCCAGGCGACTCTTGACGCGCAGGCGCAGTTCCCATCTGCGGAGATGGTCGTGTTGGGTCGACTTTAATGCTCACCATGAATCATGGTTAAGTTCCCTCAAGACTGACCATGCAGGAAGAACTGCCCACGCTTTCGCTCTCACGCATGACTTGACCCAACTGGTAACCCAGCCCACCCGGGTTCCAGACATATCGGATCATGCACCCTCTTTGCTTGACCTTCTGCTCGCGAGTCACCCTACCTACTATACAGTATCAGTCAGCGCCCCCCTGGGAAGTTCTGATCAATGTTTGGTTGGGTGTAAGGTTTCCCAAATGCCTCCAACTAAGCTGAAGGAGGTCACTCGTCGCATTTGGCACTACTCGTCGGCGGATTGGGATGGTATGCGCGACTACTTTGCGTCCATCCCTTGGTTGCAGCACTGCTTTGCGGGAAAGGATGCCTCAGCAGCTGCCGATGCTGTTGTCGATGAGATTGGAACGGCTATGGATTACTACATACCGTCTTCCAGTGTCATCGCCAATCGCAGAGGACGCCCTTGGTTCAATCGCGAATGCATGGACGCTGTTAGTGAGAAACAGGCTGCATATCGTGGTTGGATCAGGGGTCGTGTAACAAAGGATCCCAACCTTGCGTCCCTTAAAGCAGCCTATAACAAAGCAACCAAGTCTTGCAGGAGGGCTTACATAAGAGCGGATGCCCAGCGCGTTTCACGGATTGGCCAGAAGCTGGTAGCCCATCCCACCGGTAGCCGTGCCTACTGGAGCCTGGCCAAAGCCGTGCAGTCCAATTTTTGTCGTTCGTCGCTGCCCCCTTTGAGGTATCCCGATGGATTTTTGGCCTATGGCCCCGAAGAGAAAGCCAATTTATTGGCCGACCTTTTTGGGGCTAACTCGCGCATTCACGACCAAGATGCGCAACCGCCGTCAATTCCCCACTGCGGAGTCACAATGCCTGATATAGTTATCAGACAATGTGATGTCCGCAAGGAATTGCAGACTCTTGACGTGCGGAAAGCCTATGGTCCGGATGGGATACCTCCTATCGTCCTTAAAAGGTGTGCGGCGGAGTTGTCTCCCGTACTGACGCGCTTATACCGCCTCTCATACCAATCTGGTAACGTGCCCCTAGCTTGGAGGGAGGCCAACGTGCAACCTATCCCCAAGAAAGGAGATCGGTCTGATCCGACAAACTATCGCCCAATAGCTGTCACTTCAGTGCTCTGCAAAGTGATGGAGCGGATTCTAAATATCCAGATAATCCGGCACCTGGAACGTCACTCCATTCTTAATGATCGGCAGTATGGGTTTCGGCCGAACCGATCAACGGGTGACGTTCTAGCGTATCTAATGCATCTCTGGGGTGAAGCTATCGACAAACAGGGCGAAACCTTAGCGATAAGTCTGGATATTGCTAAGGCCTTTGATCGGGTCTGGCACCGTGGTCTCCTCTCCAAGCTTCCGGCATATGGTCTTCCCGGCCGCCTTTGTGAGTGGATCTCCGGCTTTCTGCGCGAGCGAAGATTGCGTGTCCTTGTTGACGGAGGCACTTCGCGGCTCGTGACAGTTAATGCTGGGGTGCCACAGGGCTCAGTGCTGTCGCCCACGCTGTTCCTTCTGCATATCAATGACTTGTTGCCTTTTGGCAACATTCATTGCTATGCAGATGATAGCACAGTGCACGGTTGCTATTATAAGCAATCGTCAAGCACCCGGGAGGACCCTGAGAGAAACCGGGAAAAACTTGTCGCTGAGCTCAACCATGTTTTGGAGCATATATCGTCGTGGGGCTCCCGAAACTTGGTTGAGTTCAACGCCAAGAAAACCCAGGTATGCGCGTTCAGCTCCAAAAAATCCCCATTCCTTCCACTTCCTCATCTTCAGGGTACAACGCTGACGCTGCAGGACAGGCTCAGTCTACTGGGGATGAGCATCCGGAAGGACATGAGCAACAAAGATTACATCGAGAGCGTCATCTGTACCGCGTCGCGCAAGCTTGGCATCCTGAACAAGGTGCACCGATTTTTTACTCCAGAGCTGCGATACCTGTTGTATAAAGCTCAGGTCCGAAGCAGCATGGAGTACTGTTCGCACCTTTGGGACGGCTCTGCCAAGTACTTGCTCGATGCCCTAGATGGACTGCAGCGCTACGCCTTCCGTGTTGTCAACGATCCTCATGTAACTGAGCATGCGGAGTCGTTACAGCTTCGCAGAGATATAGCGTCTCTTAGCGTATTCTATCGTCTGTACCACGGTGAGTGCTCTGAAGAGTTATTCAACCTTGTCCCTTCCTCTCCTTTCCATCAGCGGACCACCCGTGCCGGACTGCGTTGCCACAGTTGGACGGTCAGTTCAATACCGTCCCGCACTAAAAAGTTTGGCAATTCGTTTTTATGCCGAACCATCAAATTGTGGAACCAACTCCCGGCGCATGTATTCCCTCCCCTCTATAACATCGGGTCCTTCAAACGTAGTGTGAAGAAGCATTTGGCCAGACCGGCAAAATGATAGTGACGGAGTGAAGATATTTGTGTTTTCCATCCGTTACTCTCATCTCTGGACTGTATTCGCACTTTCCATCAGGCGCGGTGCAGTCATTTTGCCGAGTCACAATAAAAAAAAAAAAAAAAGAATAGATAGAAATTTTGATTCAGTGTTGTTGAACACGTCAATATCATTTGTTTTGCTTAAGGATTCAATTACGGCTAGGGCTTCGAAGAATGGTGTCCGTCTTAGTGTCACTGTGATTATGATTTATAATGTCCATCAATATTATTTACTATGCAACTAACCAACATTGTTGATGAAAACAAGATAATCTGACCAACTATTTGCTCATTAAGCTTATTATTATTATTTGATATTTTTTATGTAAAATGTATGATGAGAATCGTTGTTGTGACAGTCATATTCAAATGTACATAAATCGTTTGCCACCAACACAGTGGGATCGCTAGGAAGTAGGATTTCTCACTTTTTTACATGGATACTACATGGAGTCGATGTACACACGCCAACACATCAAGCTACACATTGACGTATCTTGTTCCGTTGCACTGGAGGCGATTTTCGAACAAAAATGTGTAGTCTGATGTGCCGTTGTCCGTACATTGGGTAAAAAGGGCATTTTGTGAAAAGTACATTCTGAGAAAGGGACGTTTTGCGTCCGGTGGACATTTTAAGATGTGGACATTCTGCGACTGCGCACGAGTAAACTTACATTACAGATATCACAATGAAGGTCAGAGGTGTGGTGAACTATCGTCAGTTTTGGATCTTTTGGTGCGACGCTAGGTTTTTCTGGCTCAGACTTCATACTTTTCTTTTCACGACGGACCAATTGGTTCCTGTCAAAGAATATAAATTTTAAAAATTACAAACACACGACAGAGAAAAGGTAGCTTGAGAAAAGGGTGAACTATATTATCGCATCTTAATCACATTGCAGTGAAAATCAGCAAGCGGTATGCTTACAATCTGTCTTGCATTCCATTTTGCAACAGCACCGGGTTCTTGGGAGCCTTGCGCCCTTCCACGATCCTGCGAAACCACAACATTATTGTTTTGCAAATCAAGAAGACAATGAACGTAAACACCATAGATACGATGTGGTTGAGACTTTTTTAAACAAATATGATTTGCCATAGGCGCACTTGACAGGCGATTCAGCGACCACATGAAAGCTGCATGCAATGTCTGTCTATCATTCCACAGAAGTTCTTCTATCTATATTCTTCTATCTACATAGGTATAGTCGCCGATAAGTGAAATCGTGTAGATTAGTTTTTTATTATTGTATTGTATGTATGTTAGTTTGAAGGTATATATAATATAGGTGTATTTTGTTTTTATATTGTTATGTATGTTAGTCTATAAGGTATGTATACATGGGTCTTTTTGTTACCTGATATAAATAAATAAAAAAAATAAAAAAAAATAAAAAAAATATATTAGTTATCGGTTAGAGAACTGTGTTGACATATTACGCTTAGTCAGTCAGTAATTAAAATTATATGGATATTTATAAAACTAACTAGAACAACAAAATGTTAGCGCTAATAATGTTTTGCCATTTGTTTGTATCAGAGACGCATAAAAAAAGTGGCAAATATTAAAAAAAAACACAAACCAAATCGTTTTCCCAAAGATTTTTACTTGGTGCTTATTTAGTTTTATCACTGTTTGTCATTTTTAGTCAAGAATTAAAGAGATCAAACCATGAATCAACATCGATGACCATCAGATATATGTATATCGAATAATTTGACCC